GTAAAATCAATGGTTTTTGAGATTGATTGATGTTTAAGAAACCTGGAAAATACAATTCATTGTTTTACCACTTTCTTGCTCATAAAAAAACGTGACATTATAATTCAACTATGAATCCTTTATGATTATAAAAAAATACTGATTACGCAACCATTCCATTCTTGACGTCTTCAAGAGTCTCCTGGTGATGAGCTCCCTCGAAAATTTTGTCTTTCTGGGAGAAATTTTTCTTGTCAATTCGTGAGGTCTTATTCGATAAAAAATTAATACAAATGATTGAGCGATGATATCGTGGAAAAATAGAGAAACGAGTAGTTTCCAACGGGAATTTATCATTCTTTTGCAGTGAAAATGTAATAATGTGAAGCCCCAATCAGACGAGCACGAGGCGAATGATTTGAGACGTTGATGGCCTCGATCCCGAAGTTAAGTCTCGAGGAAACGTCAGACTAAAATCCACGTGTGATTCCAAGGCCCCGACAATTTCGGCAGATCACGGGCACTTTTTATTTTTACGTAATGAGATATTATCACACGCGGTTAATGACATTTGCATCATACGATGGTTTATCACATTCAGTTACTGGCATTCCGCTAATTGATTACCCCAACGGAAGAATTATGTCAAATTTTTTGCCATAAAATGGAAAATATCGAACTAAACAATTTGTTTCAATTTAATTTACAATTCATGATGATTAATATTTTATATTATTCATAATAACATTTTTTTTTTTCAATATTTATTGCAAATCGGGATTTTAGTTGTATTTATGATGATTATTATGAATTAATTGGATGATATTTAATTTATTAAATGGATTAAGAATAAAAAATTTGGTAATCATTCGAAAATTTTGATTTCACTTTTAAAAAGTTAAAGTTCAATTGTTAGAAACGAGTTCTGCTGCGTCAATAAATATTTACTCAATACTAGATTTTCTTTTTGCTTTATGGAAACGAAGATTTCGAAATTTAATAGGTAATTGCCGCGTTTGAGGATAAATTTTCCGGTTGAATGTTCATATTCTTTTCTCGTGTGATGCAACTCTCAAAAAGGGGGGAGGGGGAAATTAGAATTTCTGTTTATAGTTAACCACAAATCTGGGGGGAGACGAAACTAAGATGGATATCAGAAGTAAACGTTTAGGTATACAGGTCATAGGTCGAGAACTCCCGGTTCCGGTGTCGAGTCTCTTGAGTCCGTGGGACTTCTTGACTTCATTTCAGTAGAAAATTTAGAATCGATTCCTGAAGACATGTCTTGTCGCCGGAAGACTATTGAATTAATTCCTCCTTTGTCCTTTTTTTCGTTAACCATCAATTGGATGTAGAACACGATAGCAAATCGTGTGGTCGGGCTAATCCTAATTCAGGTCGAGTACACCAGGCGTTTTTTTTAAATGAAATTGGCATGTCAAAGGCGAGGTGTGACGAGGAAAGTTTATTAAGCATCCGGTTGACACGTGCTGATACATCTGTTTCTGGTTATGCAATTGGTATCGCGTAATTGTTCTTCTTGTTCGACACGCCGTGCACGGTTTTTCTAATTCCAATTTTTTTTTTTTGGGGGGAGTTTTTTCTGTCAATTGTCAGTGCGGGACTCCGGTAATTTGTAATTCCTCGGACACTTCAAGACATCTTGTTATTAAAAACAGTGAAATGTGTAGAAAAATTGAACTGCAAATTTCGGGTCTGAGAATGAAAAGAAAACCAGAAAATTCTGGCAAATTAAATTAAATTTTTGGAATAGAAAAATTCATTACTTCTCCAATCAGATGATCTGAGAATTTAAAAAAATAGGGGGCGGGGGGGGGGGGGGGCACCGTACGGGACACTTACAAAAAAAGGGTTTTTAATTCATTCCCATTTTTTTTTTCGAAAAAAAATGTTGGAGACAGTCTAAGTGTTCCAGTGTTTTTGCTAATTTGAATTATTCTTTCAATTATTCTGTTATTTTCTTATTTTTTTGTTTTCGCTCATTCTTTGCTTCTGATCGTAAAAGTCCGTATATGGGAATTTAACATTTTTTTGTCAGTCAAGTGTAATAAAATTCTGGAAAAACTGAAATATTCAATAATGTATTCTTACCATCGAGTTTTTCCTCTCGTATTTTACCTGATTTTTTAATCAAGTTATTCCATAATCCTGATAAAAAATCATGAAAATTGAATGAGAAATAGAAAATTGATGGAATGAGCCCCAAATTATTAATATTTAATTGAAAATTCATTTTCCTCTCATATTTTCCATAGAATTTCGAAAAATTTCTAACCGTGAAAAAGAGAACAATTATTCTATTGTATTTTCGACCCTTTTATCCGCAAATAACAGGAGAAGAATGAGAGTGAGAGAAAGTGTAGAGAAATATTTTCAAAATGTGATACAAATAGTGAACAGTAGGAACGAAATTTCTTTGTTCTCAGCAAATATTTTCAACCGAAGGATGTGCGGATAAATTTGTGTTGGTTCCAGGTAAAACCTTTAAATATATTCAGGTCAGCATTGAATTCACATATTTAACGGTGAAAACCTCCCATTGTCACGTGGTTATGGGGCACCTGCGAGTTCTTTCGGTTTCTATCTCATGAAAAAAACCTGTTCGGTCTTCATTAGGGTTTGTCCACTTGTCCATGAAAATTTTTATTCCAAAAATGGATGGCAATTTTCATGAGAAATTCAACTCCAGATAAATACAAGTTCATTTACATATGTGGATTATTATGTTAGTGAATTTGAATTATTTGCAAAAATTCTGGTTGGGAGTAAAAAAAAATGACAAGGTCAGTCAATAGGCGAGGAATTTATAAATAGATGAGTTGTAGGACAACCTCGAAGGCTTAACATTTGTCACCGTAAATATTTCGTGAATTAATTCATTTGCCATGGCTTCAGGGATCGTCCGAGTCCAATCGACTTATTTTATTTATATTTATAGTATTGGGAAGAATCGTGGGATGGATGATGAACCATTTGAATTATCTGCAATATTAAATTTTTCAGGGCTGAATAAAATACGTTTTCTTCAAATTATGAAAAAAAAAGAAAAATTCCAATTTAATTACTTTTGAAAATTTACATTTATTTAAAAATGCAATCGATTTGCAAAATTTTCATTTTATTCACGTGAGAATTCCATTAATTTTTTCAAATTCTGGTTTTGTTTATTTTTCTTTGGTTTAATGCAAATAATAATCGTGAAAAAAATATGAAACAATTTTTGGTCCGTTTTACCGTACGATTTTTACAATAAAAGGCCCAGAAGAAAAACTAGTTGAGAGAAACGGAAACTCCGTACTCACCCCTCTTTACCTGAAAAACCCTCTTTACCTGAGAATTACCTGTGCTACTGCTCCCAAATTTCTCCAATCCGAGTTCCCGTTAGAAAAGTGCAGAAACCCTCCAATCACAATTATCCAAGCAATCCCTGCATTTCTGAAGCGAAAAATTTCTCCAGACACTTCGACAGTTTCACCCGAACCCTCGAGCAGATTTTCACCAAAAATTATCCCCTCGGGAAAATCTCTAAAAAATATTTACTGTACACAATTCCATATATTCTCGCAATATATGTAGAACTTATGTGCTAGCTTCAGAATTCTATATACAAAATATATAGTCATTATACAATCAGCTGGTTATATTAAAAGGTAATTATCCAACGTATGTTTTTGATTTGGAAAAAAAATCCTTGACTCCAGTGTAAAATATTCCGGGATCTATAATAAAATATTACGATTTCCGGAATATTTTATAACTGTCTAAACTCTCGGCATAAAATTATCATTTAAATTCTATTAAGAAAACGCACCTAAAAAATTTAATCAATAATAATTTTTTTCTGATTGTTTATTACGGATTATGAAAAAAATGTTGGATCATGTATTTTCGTTTATTGAGCAATTTAAAAAATCGTAAAAATTATGTATATCAAAAAATTTGAGTTAATATGTAATTGTCGGGAAAATATTTATGTGGGTATGATTTCGTGAAGATTTAATTCTTCCAAGCATGTCTTGCCACGTTACGCCGATGAAATAAAGTCATAAAAAAAATGTCCATGAACCAAATAAATTCCAAAAAAATCGAATGAAATATTAAACCGAAAGATAGAGCAATTGTTTGCTCAAGTGTTCAATAATTCCTCCCTCAAGAATTTTTTATCCACTCATTCCCCAGTCTCACTAGAAAAATAAAAACGAAACTACATCTTTATTTCCTATTCACCCGCAAAACAAACACAAATTGAAAAATAAAATTAACTACACCGCTAAGTCCCTGGGACTTATATTTACTCGGTATCAATACCTAAAAAATCTGAATTGACGTACATTGTTAGATTTTCCTTCAATTCCAAAGAAAAAAAAAACGAAAGTTGAATTAAGGAGAAAAATTGTTCTGAGATCAAATATTTTATTAATTTCCAGATCATTTAATCAGAAAATCAATGAAGAATGCAATTAGCCAATGCCAAGATTTTCTACGATTTCATAATTATTATTTTTATTTTTATTTCGATAATTATATCATTCATCTTGATGATTCTGCTACACATTCTGGAATGAATACCTTACGTTCATTCGAGAGAGGTATATAACGGAGGAGTGACTCCTGTCCCTACCTTATTGATCAGAGAATACTGTTGACCTAGTCTGAAACACGATTGGTATGTACTCGATTCATATCCAGTCGACTTCCGAACCAATCAATCGTATATTGTCCATCAGTTATGCATCAGCGAATCAATTGGAGTAATTCGATGCTGGAAAATAGGGAAATGTCTTTCGATTCGTCACGATCTCTCGATAATTCCTCCACCAATTCAGTTCAATCATAATTACCTAGATGATCACCTGATACTGACTCCTGTAATTTTTATAATTCACTTGGCAATCGAATGAAATTCGACTACCAATGAATGGAAATAGGATAAATAAATATTGAACAAATTAATTTTTATTTGGACAATGATCTAATGATTATTACAATGTCTGTTGCAGGAAGAGAACGTTTTCCATCATCAAGCAGCACAGACGACGATCAGAGTGGCTCTGACGTTGAACACGACACCTCAGCAATTCGTGGCAAGCCCCACTCTGGTATTTTACATTCGGGTAATCACTCGGTGAGGAAACGTCGTGGTAATTTACCAAAGCATTCAGTCAAGATACTGAAGAGATGGCTATATGAGCACAGGTACAACGCATATCCCAGTGACAGTGAAAAGCTAACGCTCAGTCAAGAAGCTAATCTCACTGTACTCCAGGTAATTGAACTATTATTAATTAAAGGGTGAGATTTCTGGGGTTTTACAAGAATATCTATGCACTGGCCAGAGATAACGAAATATTCATTAGAACCGATTTTGTGGGGAGCAATGAGAGCTGGAGAAAAGGTCATTAGATAAATTTCGATAGGTTCATTAGATTCGGAGATATTCATCGAAAACTTTGCTTTTGGGTTAATTGAGGTGTCTTTTTCAGTTCATTGGAGTTAATTTTAGTCTTATTTTGTATGTAATGGCGACTCTGGGTTGAGGCAGTCATTAAAATTATTGTTATCGATAGGTGCAGATTCAAATGTTCGTTGGCTAGTGATAACAAATTGGAAGCAAATAAATTGACTTTTACAGAAAGAGGAGACCTCACGCTTTCTCGTGATTCGTTTTTTTCCCTCTAGTCACTGATGGAAATAATAATATTTGTGGATTAAAGGCCTTTGTAGATGTATTGTGTCAATAATCTGGTGGGAAATTCTGAGATTTAAGAGAATTTTGCAGCGAAATATCTGGATATAAACAGAAAAACCAGAACTATTGAATTATCGGTACTCGTTATTAATTTTATTAATTTTATTAAAAAACTGTCAAGATTTATTTATTTGGGGAATCGGTGAGAGTTATTTTTGGATTGAATCATAGGCTGTAATCAGAAATTGATAGTGTTGGTGATCATTCATTTTCGCAAATCGACTATTCATGCTGTCAACTGTCAACGGTCACCTGGAACTCGTGACACGTTGACTGTCGCGTGCTCATCGGCAGTCTGTATTTGTTGATGGTACAATAGTTATCTCAAACAATTCGTGATGCAATTGAAATCAAGTAAATAAATTACCAAAAACCGAAGGAATTGTTTTGGAAATTTTCCCGTTGTCCCCTCCACCCGCAAAAAATCCCGCGACGTCTTTAAAACGTTAAAATCAATGAGAAAAATATTGGGAATTGATTTACAGTTACAGGAGGGCAGGGCAAAATCGGCAGAATCAAAAAAAAATTCGGAAAACGTAAACAATTGGTTGGTCAGTCAAAAAATCGTTGAAATCAATTCAAAATTTTTATTTCATTCCCATTTCGGAGGTTTATAATTCGAGGGAGAAATAAGGTGTTGATAATTTCAAATTGACTGACAGTTTTAGAGATTTTTTAATCCAATGATTATTATTATGGGACTTGCAGGTGTGTAACTGGTTTATAAACGCAAGACGTCGTATTCTACCGGAAATGATACGACGAGAGGGACACGATCCATTACAGTACACAATCTCAAGAAGGGGTAAGAAAATGCCAGGCGGAAGTCACCAGCAGGCATCAGGACTCAGTCCAACTGCCAATCAGGATTGGGATTCACTTGCTCCAGGTGTACCAGCTAAAAGACGTAGGGATCACGATTATGAGGATCACGTCATGTACAGGTGAGTCTTTTGTCCTCATTACGCAATGGAGACTATAAAAATTCAGTGGGACAGTGATAAGATAATTTTCATCAATAATTATGGTGTTTACGAGCCATTTGAGCAGGGGGGCTTTTGCAGGGGATTTTTCCACCTGCATAAGATTGCTCGAGATTTTTTTATGACTCCTCAACGAAACGAGTGTATAATGAAAAATCCGGTTGAGTCCTGTTAACACAAGAGCATTGAATTCTTGAATTAATACACCAGTTTCTATTGAATTCTTCATCCCTCGAACTCTAATACGAATTTCATTCCTTATTTCCTCTGATTGCTTGAAGATAAATCTTAATTAAGATACTTTGAGCATGGGGATACACGATTTCATATAAAATTTAATTATTTCTGTAGCCATTAGTGGCGGAGAAAAAATTGTCAGACTTTTTAATTTTTTGTCATTTTTGAATAACGCTTCAGTCAATGAATTCTCGTTAATTAATTTTTTTTAGGAGTGAAGAAGACAGTCCTAACGATTACGAGAGCAGTTCTCACAGCGAGGAGGAACGACCCTCAGCCCAATGGCCAAGTGTCATTGTTTATCCATTCTCCGAAACTAAAGTTGAGCCATCGAATGAATTAAGTTATGGCGAGGCACTAGATCATCCAGCCCGACGAGGGTATGTACATTTTCTGCTCATCTTCAAATATTTGGACATCTATAAAAAAGTCAATTTTATGAGAATAAGTATCAGACGTCTTTGATAACACGTATTGTGGAGATGGAATAACAGTTGCGCAATTGTGACATGATAAACCACTCATTGCGAATCTAAAACCGTGAATTAGTGAGATTTGAAAATCTAAAGCTATTTGCTTTTGCTTTATTTCAATTTCGGTAGCTAGATGTTGAATAAATAATTCTTCCTTTCATTTTTGAATCAATTTGATTAATATGACCTATAGCTTTTTTTTTTTTTTTTATTTAGCTTTTGAAATGGAGATTTCATGAAACTCTTTGCCTTCTGACATTTTTTTTTCACGTGAATCTTCACTGCAAGACCGATTTGTTTGATAAAAATATAATTGTTATTAATTGTAGAACGATATGAGTTCGTTCTTCCCTGAGTTATACCGAAATATCTCCGAAACCAAGGGAGATAGCGAAATTTTGATAACAACCTTTTTCATAGCTGTTAATGAACTCTTCAAAAAACATATTAACAAAAATTCCACTATCTCTCTCAGTTCTGAAGATACTCTCGAAAAACTGGAATAGTCCAAAGAGTCTGAGTCTTATCTCCCTTTATCACTTCGCTACTATCTTCGAAATTGAGGGAGATATCAAAATTTTCGTAATAACCTTTTCTGCAGTTCATAGTTAGCTCTACAAAAAAGATTGATACCAAAATATCTCTATCTGCCTCAGCTTGGTAGATATTTCCGAAAAACACTGTGAAGATCCTCATCCGCATTTTGCTACTGTCAAAATACTTTTGAAAATACATTTTTGTTAGCATCGATAAGAGTAAAATAATTAAAAAATTGAAATGATATTTAGGGAGGATGATACATCAGTCCCAGAAGCAGCCTATTGGAGTGCACCTCGCCAGCATTTATCATCAACCCCAGAAGTTAAACACGATGGTGAAGTTTTCAGTAGCCGCAATAGTCACACCCACAGCGATGAAACACCACCGCCAACACCACCTGAGGAGGACAAGGACAAGTTTAAGTGTCTTTATCTCCTGGTGGAGGCTGCGGTTGCTATCAGACAGCAGGAGAAGGAACGTGAAGCCACTGTCACTGTTCAACATAATATTTCACCAAAAGAAGGAGAAATGAGTGAAATCAACGATTGAAACCATCAGTCACATCTCCAACTTTGATGTCTACAGTTGATCGAAATTGTTGGGATTATTTTTCGCTGGTTCTCATCGTTCCTCAACTTTCTGACGTCGAGGGCCTTTTTCTCCCCCTCTTCCATTTTTTTTTTTCGTTCTTTCCCAGCCTCGATGTCGCAATTCAGTGAGCATTACGTTAGAATATATCATTTGAACTCTTTCATTTATTTTTTTTTTATCTGATCGAGTTATCAGGAGTGGTAGTTTGACGTTATCACTCGTGTTTATCTGTTTTGTGGTTACAAAAATTGAGAATGTGTGAGATGAATTGAGTTTTTGTGAGATGGAGGGGGAATTGTTGTTGAGATTTTTAGATTATTGAGGATGTCTCCGAGGGGTTCAGGGGGAAATGTCATTTCATGGTCTACCATTGAAATCTGACAGTTCTCAAGTGGTAAAAAAGATTGATCGTATTTGCCGGTTTTATTCTCGATTTTTCTTGGAAACTGTCGATTTTTGGAGAAAACGTTGGAGGACTTTATTGTTGATCATTGATTTTCGAATAGAGAAGGTCTTTTGATCGTTTCTTCTAAACCCAATGGTTTTCAGATAAATCGATATTTAATGAAACTAATAAAAGTCCAATTATGGTTTTTTCCATCAACTTTTCCCTCTCTTCATAAATTTCCAATCCAAATTAATTATTATTCTCAGATCAGCAAAATTTGAATTTTCGGGATTAACCTTCGAGTTCCATTCTAAATTAACACAATTAACGTTAAAACTATCGAGACTCTTGAAACTCGAGATAGAAAAATCAGATGCCAAGTGTTAAATCGGTATTTGATGAATTCCTCGTCAATTTTTGCTGGATGTCTTTAACCTCAATAGAGATATCCCCAGAAATGACAGCTTAATGTAAAGTTCGATTAGTTGATTGGTTTTTCTTTATTTACATAACGATATCACATCGAAAAACCATCAAAAATAATTGTTTCCACCCTCCCAACATTTCGATAGAAACGTGTGCCTTTGTGAGCGTCAATTATGAGACTAAAAATCGCAGAAATTTTCAAATGCCATTGAATAGGTTGCAGTAATTAACAAATGATATCAATCATCAATCAAAAATTGCTCATACCTCGAGCCCTTCTCAACCATTAAAATCCAAACGAATGTTTATGGATTAGGAATGTTAATGTGAACATACAAACAATTGTGACAATTATACGTAATTCGGTTATTTAGTGCGTAATTTCTCAGATAATTGTAATAAAAATGAAAAAAAAAAAAAACAAACAAACAACTAGGAAGACTCGGGTTTATTTCCGCCATAGAATGACCACGACCGAACGTTTACGCAGGATTTCAACGAATTTACGAGGTTCATTATGCCATATTAATTATCTTCCATTTATTCGGTGATAATAAATCGTCTTGAAGTGATATTGTCCAAGTCGAAATTATTTTGCCCGGTAATTATGCAAATATCTCAGTGATGACGACTTTACAGAAAAGCATTGATTTTTTCGTCGGTACAGATTGCCACTGAGATTTTTTGAGAATTAATTAAAAAAAAATTCAGTAACGAAGCGGTTAATGGTGATATGTCGGCTTTCCTCGGCGAGCTTTTGAGGATTATCTCGAAATCTGAGTGAGATAGAGAAATTGTAGTGAGGAGCTCATTTATAGAGTGAAATGAGGGCTACCAGAAAGGTTCCTACGATATTTTTCATATCTCAGTTAGATAAAGAGATATCCCTCGAAAACTTACTCTTCATTACTGAATTGAATGAGTTGAGTTTTCAAGTTTCATAATTTCGATTATATGAAGTAGTCCTGAATCTCTAGAAGATTGATTCCCTCTAGAATCACCGATTTATTAATCCTCAGAGGAACGATGCTCAAAATGAACTTCCTCATTTCCTTCTCCATTCGTACTTCTCCATTTTTCCTTATTTTTAGTGACAAAAAATCATTTTTTCCACATTCGACATATCAGTTCTGCAAAAAAAATTTTTCTTTGTATTTCTCTTCGTTTTACTCTATTCAGGACCCGCACTTATGTATCCGGAGGCCAATGAATTGATTAATTCTGCAGTGGAGTGGAAAAATTGGAGAAAATCTCAACACGATTTCAGTAGCGATGTGACAAAATCAGAAGTTCAGTTCTTCAGTGAATTTTTCGGGAATATCTCCGACACTAAAGAAGATAACGAAAATATTGTAGGACCTTTTCTGTAGCTCTTAATTAGCTCCAGGAAAAAGGTCCTGACAAGAATTTCATTACCTGTTTTAGTTTCGAAGTTATTTCCAAAAAAACTGAAAAGTTGAGTCGATTTTTCTCATTTATCTCCAAGCTACAGATTTTCTTCCATAATTTCTTAATTTCTTCAATAACTAATTACTAGATAAAAAAACCACTTACACTTGAGATACTCTTCAATGTCATGTGAGTGCCACTTCGCTCCAGAATTTCTGTTGCGATAAATCAAGTGAGATACAAATTGAAAGAAATAAATAAAAAAAAAAATGCCAGAAAACTGTTATCCGTTATCGAAAAAAAAATATATCATGGAAAGATTGGTACAAATGCCAAAGACTTACTTAACTAATAGTAATTAACTAATTAATTCCCGCGAATTCTGTGGATCAATTGATCATTAATTTCAAAGAGTGAACGAGCATTAACATGAGTGTGATTAGTGAGTGAGTGGAAAAACCACAACATTTTTTTTACAAAAAAGACATTGAAAAAATGATCGTTCCCCCAGCCACGAGAAAATCGATACAAAACGAATAAAGCGACGAAAAATTGAAAAATGTACAAATTAATATCTCAAGTAATTTTATTTACTACCATCAGTCGTCGTGGTCGTAGAATAGTTCCACATAGCCTTAAGAATTTATTTTCAATTTTTTAAAGGGGCAAAAGGCTCAATCAACATTCGCATTTGCGATTGAAAAACTCAATATGAACGATAAACCGATGAAAATCACCCGAACCCATCGACTTATCGATCATTTATCATCGAGTGACGATCAATCGTCACCATGGTGTCGTATACTTAAAATGAAAATAATTGACCTCAATAAATACCACCTTAATTAGTAAAAGGCAACAGAACAAGAAAAACGCTCAGATAAAGTTAAAAACAGGATAATGACTGATGGCTATTGGTTATTTATACGTTTTTAACAAGAGTGACGAATATTTTCGTAATGAACAATTAATAATCAGTAGGGAGAATGAATGAAGTCATCTTGGACGCTGTTAATGTTATTACTGGACAATTTTAAAGTTAAAAAACAATATTGTTAACTATTTGGATAAAGAGAGAAAACGTGATTGGGAGTCTCATACGTACGGCGAATAATGTATAATATTGGGAGTTCTTAGATTTTAAAACATTCGTACAAAATTGAGAATGAGGAGATTAATGGAGGAATTTATCGATGGATTATTGGTGCGTTGAAGTGATTGAAGATTATTGTTAATTACTCGTTTATCTCGCTTTGAGGAGAAATTGTTGAAAAAAAAAAATTGCTCTAGCTTTTTGCTGAAATCACTCATTACGAAAATTCCATATTCCACTCGACATTTTTCGTGTTGAACAGATATTTCGTAATTACCAATGAGATACCTGATTTCACTTCGATGCCTGATTATCCTGAAGAAACAACCAGTTGTCACTGCCGCTTGAGCGTTCAAAGTGTCTTAATTAAGATTTATCTCCAAGGTATCAGAAAAAATAAGGAATAAAATTCGTATTAGAGTTCGATGGATGAAGAACTCAATAGAGAGGGGTGTATTAATTCAAGAATTCAATGCTCTTGTATTCGTAATGAGATAAAGATTAAGAATGCTATGGCTAGGGTAAGATTATGCGTTTAAGGGTGCCTTTGTTTACAGTTTGTTTATCATTTGTTTATAGCTCTTCCACGCAAACGAAAAAGAAAATATGAGAGAAATGAATTTCTCGATTTATCAGATTAATGAAAATGTGAATTGAGTGATTTATCAAGAGAAATTATTTGTTAAAAATTACTTTTCTTTTTGTTTAATTTAAAATTCATTACGAGCGTTAGAATTAATTGGTAAATCATTAATAATTAAGTTTTAAGTACTTTTTAAGCGGAAATAATAGTTGATACGAAATAAAAAGGATTAAAATGCTCTTCCTGAACTACTGAGAGACTAAAGTGAATCAATTTATCAATGCAATTTATCCAGTTACATTTATCAATGAAAATTTTATGTTTTCTGTGAGAAGATTCGTCGGGGAATTTCGGTTGACCTGGTTATCCCCTAGATTTGTTTATACCGGTATAAATTTTATTCAAAAATTGACAGTGAAAATCAAGGGAAATCCGAGAGAAAATTCCACCACAATGGAACTTCGAAGGATTAATCGTGATGTGATGGAGTGAAAAGAGCTGGATTCAAGTACTTCAATCATTATTTCATGAATATATAAAAAAAAAGGAGAGGAGAGGCGGGGGGGTAAGTCTTTACGTTATACGAATTTCTCTCAGCATTCACACCGCATTCATTTATTATCGAAATATTCACGGAATAGAAGGGAAAAATTGCTGTTCAAGCGGTAATTTATCATCATTACTTAAATCGATTGAAACGCAACAAGTAGGAACGCCTGACTTGTAATTTGCGCCTAGCCGCATGTAAAAATTGCTCTCAACAATGACTATACTAGTTCATAAAGCTGTAGCAGGATTTAATTCTCGATGACATATTCATGCATAGACAATAATTCATATTCCCTAAAAAAAAAATCCTCTTTTCTAGTTTTACAACGTAATGTACAGGTGCCATAACTGAACGTACGATCGTAATTTGGTCACTGCTATTCTGAATGATTGAGTAATCATAATTTAATGATAATTATGTAATCTATTAACAATTGTTTTTTTTTGTTTCATCTTTTATTATTTTTTTTTTCTCTATTTTTACGCAAGAATTGTTATGTCGGGCAGGACATGGTTTAAAGGTGGGCTTTTTCCATTCCTCACTGCGAGATTGATAATTGCAGGAGGGAAGTGGCTGTTGATGGGGTGAGGCGAGGTGGGGGATCTTTAAATCATGGAAATGCTGATTATTAACGTAATCTAGGAGTAATGGTATTATATTTCATTATTATTCGATTCGCAGACCTACAATAAAGCATGTTGTGAATTTCATTTCATTGGATATTCTGCATTTGTTTTCACCTGTTGTTTATTTTCCTGAATCTCTTTTTTTTAGATTTAATTATTAAAAATTCAGATTTTAAACCTCAGTATTTAATAAAGGTATTGAGTTTCTCCAATTTTCAATGTTCGTGAAATTCAATTAATTGTAACAGAATATTCTCAGAGAAGTGGAGATAAAAATTCATTCATTTGGTAATCAATCATTAATTTATTAACAACGGCTGAGAGTCAATGATAAAATAATAATTATTACTGACTCTTTTGCAATTTTGTAAGAAATGCAGGGAAAATATAAAAAATATTCTTTGGCATGTGCCTTCAGCACCTCATAAAGATAATTTCCCACCGAACTGGAAGATGTTTCAGTGTCGGTCTATGATTCGCACGCCTTATTCGCTAGTTTTTAAAGAAATGTGCTGCACGTTGTGGATGCGTAGTTCTCCGTGAATATCGTATTCCCTCTAGGCGTACGTTAAAAAAAAAATGTCAAATTGAGATGCACTTCGCCACGGAATGTATGGCCTCACCATAAAATTCACTCCCATTCACCAGAGAAAATCCTTTTTTGAAAAAATGGTGTCAACTTTTTTTTTATCAGCAATCTATTTCTTTTTTCTATCTCTATATTTTTTTAAAAATACATAATAAATTATATAAAATGAAAATAATGTGATAATATACGTGTATATCGTATTATATTATGTATATGATAATATAAAATGTTTTTCTCAAACGGTAATTGCAATAATTAAAAGAAAAAAGTTCAATTTTTGGGAATATTTATAATCATTATCAAGTTTTCGTGGAATATCTCTGAATCGAAGACAGATCACGAAATTATCATTGAATCCTTTTTTATAGCATGGAATGAGATCTACAAAAAAGGTAATCACAAAAATTGTGCTATCTCTCGCAGATTTCGAGATATTCCCCGAAAACTTACTGATTATCGTGATTATTTCGCTATTTTACCATTTATTTATTTAAATAATTCACAAAAAAAATTGTTTTCCATTGCAAATTCTATTCAGATGCAAGTTACATATAGCGGATTCCTAAAATTTCAATTTTTTAATTGAATAAAAAATCAATTTGACATTGAATTGATATTTTTTTTTAGTGTGATTATCAGGGAAGTGAAATTATTTTATTAACTCCTAAATCCGTGGCTGATAATGAAGGCACATGAGCCGGTTTTACAATTCCTCGGTGCACCTGCTGGTTGCAGCATCTGGGTATCATCTAGAATGCAGAGGATATGAAATATGCGTCGTTAAGAAACGATGAGACTTCATAATGCCATGCATTTTTCGGGGCGACTGATTGAACCTACGAGATTCCTCTCCGTAATTCGGTCAGTGAACTCAAAATATAATCGATGACAGAGTTTTCACATAAATAATCCTCCTCGACATGTTTTTTATGGATTTAATTGGTTTTATAAATTTCTGCAAACTAATCCAATCAGAAAAAGGTAAAGGGTGACAAGTCAATTAGATAACAGCAACATTTTCCAGGAATATCTCTAGATTTTAAGGAGATAGTGAAATTTTCGTTGATACCTTTTTAATAAATCTCAATTCACTCTACAAAAAAGCCCCCGAGAGAAATTTCGGTATCTCCCTTAGATTTCGAGATATTCCTCGAAAACTGAACGTCGAAATTTTTTTTTTCATTCGATTGCAAATATCGATTTTGAAAATGTTTCTATTATTTTATTAATATGATTTGATATGAATTACAAAAAAAATTGTAAATTGAAAAATTTAATTAGTCCTATTGTTTTTGAATATTCATAACCAAAGGGAGCTCGATCGATAGAAATTAAAAGCATACACCTAATTGAAATCATACCACGTTCCACTGAGTAAGAAAAAAAAGTAATGTATTACATACGTGACGGTTCGCTGGTTGAGGAGGGGGTTCGATCCTCCGGGGTAAAGTGGGATTTTTCAAGAGGATGAGTCCAGTCTGAGAGTCGACTTGGTGCAAGAACCTGATAAAACCTCGTCCTTCCCATCAGTTGATGTCAACACCAACAATCATTCCAAAATTATAAAAAACCGTCAACATTTCGCCAAACCAAAAATTGCAAAAAATAAAACTATCAACCCTATTAATTCCTCCGAGTAAATAATCCTAATTACAATTTTTTCATTAATTATTATGAATTGTAATAAATAATAATAAAATGGGTGGATAAAATGATGAAATAACGAATCCAATGCACTCAGTGACTGATTAATTAAAGGTAATAGTGATTTAATTAGAATCAATCGTGTTCCTCTCGTAATTTGTGAGTGAAATTTAATTATTCATTTAGACACGAGGATTTGAAATAAAAATAATAGGGAGGAAGTGCGAGCCGGCGGTCAGCAATTATGCCATAGTCCTGGTTAACCACTGTGCAGCAAAATTACTTCTTCGTCGTCATAGACACTGCATTCTGCACGTTGCACTGCTACTTATCGACTAAACATCTTTTATTGAGGTGAGTTTACACAGCGGTGCAACGAGCCAAGGATCATAAATTCCCATGGCAAATTTGTTTTTCATGTTTTTTACGGGCTTTCCCGATGTTTCAACCCTCTATCGAAGTAATTAGTCATGGGGTTAATTAGAAATTAGTTAATCATTATTCGCATGTACTTTTCCATTTTTTTTTTTGCATTTTTTCGGTTTTTTGGTAGATTTCTGAGAATCGGTTGATAATATTCGCGAGCGAAAAATTTATTATTCAATATCTCACGAGGTTTTATTACGCGGGAATTTTTCATCTATTTTCTCAGTGATTTTGGGAAAAATTGAGGAAAATGGACGCACTGTTGTAAAAATTTGTTAAAATGTCAGAATGAGTTGTTAAATAATGATAAAATGCAATCCCAGATGTATCCCAGAAATTTCCAAAAAATATAAAAAAGGAGAAGATATCGGCAGTTACTCCTGGAGAGAAGGATTTAATAAAAAATGACGCGATTTGTGATTTATCGAGTTGAGATATTAAATGGAAAAATAACAGGATTAAATTTTGATTAATTAAAAGGAATTTGTAATTAATTGAGAATTGATTTAAAAAATAAATTGATAATTGATTTGACTAATAATAAAACGCATGTCCATAGTTTTGGTAGAAATAAGTGAAGAAACTTTGCAAAATTCGAATTTTTATGGAAGACTGTGAGAATGACTGGTGAATTTTGGGGCGGAATATTTTTTCGCAGAAATACAGAGAAAATGACGGGTTTATAGGTCCAGTTATAATTTCGGGAGTATTGAGGATGCGTAAGTGATGCCGGTAAGTCCCGCACATTGCTCTGCTTCCAGGGCACGTATCAATGGACGATTGCGACCTGTTTTTTTTTTTCCTTTATTTTTCCCGGTGCAAAGCCGAGCAAAACTGGAACGCAATGTCCATCATTCCAGCCACTTTGCCTCGTTCGTCGCCAGACATTTTTTATTCATCGAATAATTCGGGGAATTGTTACATGGAATTAAATTATTACGACGAGAATGGGACGGATTGACTCCTTGGTCGACTAGCATCTCGGTTTGCGAGTTTTCTTTGTGAGTGGTGAGTTGATTGGAGGATGAAAGGAAAATTTGAAGTGTCAGGGATCAGGGGTTATTAATTTTCTTTCATTAATTGGATGTGGGGTTATATTGCATCTGTGGGTACTATCATGGGATTATTTTGGGATTTTTTTTTTTGATTTTTTTTGGGATTTTTTTTGGGATTTTTTTTGGATTTTTTTTTTAGATTTTTTTGGGGATTTTTTTTCCATTGGTTAGTTGGTGAAAATGTGGTGTCACGAAAAAACGCAACGGAAGCTGCGCGGCCGGCGACTGCGCTTGGAGGGGATACGATGCCCTCGGGCATGCGTACATGAGAACTTTTACACTTGAAATTAATTTTTTTGATAAATCAATATAATTCCTAAGTTCATTCGAATAATCGCAATTTCTTGATTATTCTCCTTAATTTAAACTCAAGAACAACCTTTTGAAAATAATTAGTAAGCAGTCCATGCAGTGCTAATTTTAATTAAAAAATTGATACAATTTTTTAATTCTCCAGTGTGACAGTAATTTGGAATTCAAACGTCATCAAATAAGAATAATAGGGTAATAAAAGTGTCACTGGGTCAAGAATTCGAAACAATTTACCATTATGCATCGTTAAGTCCGACACACCCATACGTCCACCATAATAATTTTTGTAGCCCAGTATAAACGAATGCAGAGTTTTGCGAAATGACGTTGTTATTACAGAAATTACGCTCGATGCTCATGCGTCGGGTTGCAATGTACAAATTATTTTCATTCTTCATTTTATGTTTGCAGACGAGCGCGAACAGAATTCGTAATTAATCCCTCGCCGACTGAACAAATCAACAAATCAATAAAACCCATAAAATAATTTTAATTCCAATAGAGAATACACAAATAAAAAAAAAAAAGAGAGAGATCCAATAAAAATAATTAGGACGATTTAAATGAATTTTCATTAATAAAAACAATTCATGAATAAATGAATAAATAATTATGATTATATATATAAGGAATAATTTTAAGGAATAAATCACTTTCTAACAAAAGCAATAAACACCCACGCGAATTTAATCTGTTATAGGATTAATCTAAATTCACTCTGATATCTTCCGATGAGAGTCGTATCGAGAGTGTCAAATCCACTTTCTACTTGGAAGTCATTCGACCATAAATACGCAAAATCAACAATTTATATTAACATTAGTATAATATTATAGAGATCAGTTAATGGTCCTGTGGAATTAAGTAAATGCAATAAATAATGCAGACGAGAATAAATAATAAATTTCCAATCAACAATAAATTTGACAGAAATAAAAATAGTTTACGAATCAGCAATATTTATAATTTTTTTCCGATTTGTGCGTTAGACTATTTTTATTGTTATTCATCTCTTTTATTTATTATATATTTTTACTTATTATTTATTGCAAACAGATAAAACCGAGATATAAAATTACGCAAGGAAAACATTATAAAAATGCATTATAATTATATTAAAAAAGAATAAATTTTCATAAAAAAAGCAAGTGATCGAAATTCTCGATTTTCGTTTTGAAAAATCGGTTGTGCCAATTTTTTCGATCGATGAATTAATGCAGAAATCGGAATATTCAAAACTTTCTGTATTGTTTGAACACCAGGTGCATACACATGACAATCATTAAGAACCGATTGAAATTCAATAGCTGTCTGAGCTACAAATTAACAATCGTTTAGGTGTCACGTCTTCTTATCAATAATTCAGTTTCAATCGAACAGTAAACAGGTCAGAATCAATATTCCATAGGTGATTGACACAAAGCCCCGTCAATGCTTCATTGTTGTCTTCCTGTTGGTGTCAGACTTGTCTGCGGAAAAATAATTAATAAAAATTGGCAGAAAAAACGTAAAAATTACGTCTTAATTTTTATTTTCTTTTTCGTCTAGTTCAATTCGCGAATTTCATGGCAATAAGTTGAGGAGTTTCTCAATAACTCGATGAATTTCCGGTTAAAACTGGGAATTTTTACAAAGATTTGTCATAACGCGGGAAATTTGAATGCAATCCAATGGAATTTTCAGAGGCCACAGTTTTTTTGCCAGAATTTCTGGGAAGAATTCGTTGCCGTGTGGATTTCTTTGATGTATAGAATGAATTCTTCTTTACTTGAAGTCGTGGCGCCATCGCAGCTTGTGAATACGAAATGTCTTCCGATGCAGTACAATTTGCAATTGAATGTAAATTCGAGTCTAACTGTTTTTATTCTAATTCCAAAGTTGACGGGGCTACGTGCGGAGAATATTACCTCGTAAAAATGACGAAAATGAAAAAATTGCAATGAAATTGAAATTGAATTAACTATTGAATTTCATCACAATTAAAAAATTTTTTTTATATACATGATATATATGTATATATATATTTATTATTGATGTATACAGTGTAAACAAATTGATAAATAATGAATATCTAATTCAATTTTGTATATAATAAGTTGAAGAATTGAAGTGATTTCCCTCCGCCATTTTGTCGCTGCCTTTCCAAGGATCAAAATGGCGGAAAAATCGGATAAAAATTTCAAAAAAAAATGGGAAAAAAATGAGTCCATTATTATTATTTCTCTCATTAAATAAAAATATAATCTAGATAATTATATCATGATTGATTTTCTGTTTAATTTAGTATAATTCATATTAAACAATTATTTTATCTAATTGAACAATTGCTTACGCCTCATTACTGTGTGCACGTTCTTCTTTGATAAAAAAAAATGAAAAATCGACTTGAAATCGATTGGTGGAGGACGACTTTCGAGTGCAATTATCGATATATTGAGATTATCGGTTTTTAGGTCATGAAGTCAAATGCTTCAACATCTGGGTAGATATTCCCACTCGCAGCATAAATTGCCGTAATTATGAAAATCGACATATTCCTATCAACCATGGAAGCGGGTAAATCAAAAACCGTAACTAAACTCGTTCACCTCCCTCAATAAAAAATCTCTTCATCCAATTACGTAAGGATTAGAATTAAAACGTGAGGTGAATCATAATCAAACTGATAAAACACAGGATAAAAATTCCTTGCGGTGTGCCGCTGAAGGAGTTACCGACAACCAAATAAAATGAGACATTTAATCTCAATCGCGAAAAAACGTTACACGCACCGTTTATTTTTATATCTACCAGGAAGGAAAGACCATATGCACCATCAGGTGAATATTGAGCCCACGGTTTTGCGTATGCTCTCAAAACTCCGTCTCAAACCCGTTTTCCCTCTTCACCACTCAATCTTTCGTAAATTAATACAGCCAAAAAAGAAGTTGAGAATTTTTGGAAGAATGTGACAACAGAAGCAATTGATATTTTATCATTAAATAGGGAATCGGAGAATTCTAAATTTGATTTGATGCCAAGGACTACAATATTAATGTAAAAAATGACGATTGCATGATAATCATTGTGATTTTATTGATTCTAGAGATAATGGGATTGGAATTTCTCATTTATCTACAAGCTAAATTTAAACATGGCCAATTTTTTGCTGAATATCTCGATGCGCATATTGAGAAGTCATCGACATGCGCAGCGTGAAAAAATGAGGAATTTTTATATTGAATAAATTGATTTTCTACTCATGCCCCTTATTATCAATAATTTCCGAGATGTTTCAATTGAAGGTGGGCAATTGCAGCGACAGCGAGAGCACCTCAACTCGAGATTGCATCCATAGTCCATGTGCGCATGCCCGAGGGCATCGTATCCCCTCCAAGCGCAGTCACCCGCCGCGCAACTTCCGTTGCATTTTTTCGTGACACCACATTTTCACCAACTAACCCACGAAAAAAAAAATCCAAATTCACCGTCCGCATCTCACCGGTCTCAGAGATTGTCCCTTGGAATATTAACATCAGGATGTCCTCTTTAATATTATGTACCGATCGACACATAGCACCATCAACGCCACTAATAACCAGTCGAGGTATCTAACGGTCGCGTTATATCACACGGCAAATTTTCTGAAAACTCGAGAGTTGGTTGTAACGGATCGGAAGAATATCAGTGCCGTTGCCTCGTCATACCTCCGATTGATTATACCCAATGAATATATATCTGATATTATCAATAATTTTGATGATAAAGACGTAAATCCGGGCACATCGCGACAGGTGGTGGAGCCCCTGGCCCCCGTGGAATTACCAGGTAATTCCAATCAATTCCAGGTAATTCCAATCAATTCCAGGTAATTCCAGTCTGGTCTTGAAGGTCGCGGGTGGCAATTACTACTTACGATTGAGTTGCAAACAGGGAGTATACTGTTAAACACGTGCGCGAACCGGTCACTCGGTCAGGGGCATAACCAGTGGGACATCGCGGTCGCAACTATTTCCCTGGAAAAATGAAAAATTACTAATTTTTCAATCCTAAGAACTGGTTTTTCACCTCAATTCACCATTTTTATACTCGCCTGACGCTTGATTAATTGTTGAATCATCCAATCAAAAAAAATCTTCAATCTTTGTGAAAAACTGGAAATTCAGACAGAAAAAAATTATTTATTCCCTTCCTCAATTTCCTAATTACTCCCCACAGTAGAAAAAAAAATAATAATTTGAGAGATCAACGAGAGATGCAAAAGTCTAGAACAGGAATTCTCAAATTATTTAATCGTATACCAATTATTATTATAGATTAACATTGTTAATTATTATTCCTGTGACTTAGTATTTTTTGTTTTCATACAAAGAAATTGTTTGTGCTTATAATCTCGTTACGATTACTTCAGTTCTTCATTACGGATTTTTTCTTGGGGTAATTGCACTGACGCTCGTGTTCTCGATTTTTTTTTCAATGTTCTCTGAATGATGAGGGAGAATGATGAAGTCGAGAGTCCATAGGACTTACGTTTGAAAACGAAGACTATTCACTTTCAGTAACGCTTTCTAAGTGGAATTATGAATGACTGGGAACGAGGGAAATTTCAGTTATTGCTTTTTCCACTGGGTTCGTTGACCTCCATGATTAATGACATCAGCATCAAAACTTTTGATGGCATTGCAACTAATTACTTCCAACAATAACAACCTACAACCAGAAAATCAGATAATTATTCTCTAATAACCACACGATAATTAAAAAAAAATAATATCTCGTCAATTACTAAACACTACCAATATTTTAAATAATCAGTGCTTTCATTAAATAAGCAGTCATAATAAGTCATAAATAATAAAACTAAACAGGTGATAAATTGTTTAAATGAGATTGTTCATTAATTTTCGTTGTTTTATTTTTTTAATTGATGTATGTATGAATATTTAATATAATTTGTATGGGAGAATCGTTTTGCGAATTGAACAATGATTTCTAGGTTTAATTTAGATTTTTTTTTTTAGACAATATGTTGGGGAAGGCTCTGATTTTGAGTATATTGCTGGTTGTGAACTGTCAATCATCGGCTCGGGATGGGGAAAAATCGAAAGAACCTCATCATCGACAGAAGCGAGTCCTGTGGTTAACGAATGATGGACGAATAGCATTGCCTCCAGGAACTGTTATGACGATAACGCCTACCATAGCACTTCCGTTTGTTCGATACCCACCTTACGGGTTCCTCAGCAACATGACCATCAGTCTGCCTTTCACAAGTAATTTACAACCTGCTTATTGATTAATAAGCAATATTTTTTTAACTGCAACAAATTTATCTAGTCTCCGAGAATCGATTTGGGAATTCGTGCATTTTTTAGAGACCAGTTTTTAGCCGATTTCTCGAAATTGAAAGCAGATAGTAATATTTTCATAGATACCTTTTTTGTAGCTCCCATCTTTTTCTATAAAAAACATTCATACGAAAAATTTGCTATGTTTGTTCAATTCTGAGATATTCGCTGAAAACTGGCCTCGAAAAAAAGTACACTTACCTTAGTTTACCACTTCGCTCTGGAATTGTTGATTATTCACGCATCGACAAACTCTAATCAAATATTCCCTCTAATTAATCCAAAAGCTGTTTTATTTTCCATAATCTATGAAATGAAATATATGAACTCTGAAAACCGTATATTTATTTTAAAGCTATAAGTTATAAATTTCAGTCAATCTCGTAAAATAAAACTGATACATTTGTTCATGTAAAATCCTCTTCATAATAATCCTAAATGAACGGGTTAATGATGATTTGAATTATTTGCAGTTGACTTTGACAAGCTAGGATTAACTGACAACGAAAACCCTTACGGGGCACTTCCGCCTGTGTTCGACAGGGGAATGAAGAGCCGTCAGGCTGGCATGATGATGGCTGACTTCATCGCATCATTCATCAAACGAAGATTGCACAAACGTGATTTACAAGAAGCACCGAAAAATGCATTTCACGGTGGAGAACGGGCCCTTTTATACGGCACCGCCGAGGACATGCTCACCACCATGGGACTTGACGGTAAAGCATGTCTTCTCAGGGCAATTTGCGAAGTTCAAGGACATCCACTTAATAATTTTGGTCTCATCGGAGAAATGCTCAAGCTCTTCTTCACGTGAGTCAAACCTAAAACTTCGTTATCTTTTTTCACTCGCGACTAGAGCGCGGTATAATCATCATTGATAAATAAAATATTGCTGTTTAAAAATTATTTATTCACCTGTCCCCATATTTCAATAAATTTTTATTAAACTTTTCTCTCCGTGTGTGAAGTTTAATAAAAGTTTAAGTCTTTTTTTAATAGAGATTCATCATTTGTTTTGTATTTTTAGTGCGAGTAAATCACCATTTGCTAATCTACTCAAGGAGTATGTAGAAGCTGAAAATCGGGGTAAACAACATGGTGAGTGCTGGCCGTACTTCAAGAAATGTCCGAAGTCTCTGTTTCTGCCATCAGAGAATAGATACACGTAAGCATTTCCATCTGGTTAAATACTCAGAGCAATAAAATTCCAATTACCCTCATCCTTCATCATTTTATCAGGCAAGATGCAGATGTCGATCACTTGGATTCAGATTTCTCTGAAGACGCTAACGAGCTCTTCGACTCACGAGAGGAAGACAACAGGCACAATCGACAGCAGACGATAAATCCAGCAATGTAAACTTTAATCAACAATCCTAGGTTTTTTATTGAATTTTATTCACTTGTGAAGTGGCGAGGGGTGGAATTTGATTATGGGGAATTGACATTCAAGCGGATGTCAACAGAACTTGTTTTTTGTCCCACTGATCTGCGAAAACATCTCAACAATCTGTTCCAAGGAGAAAAAACTGGAAATTACTTGTTCTGGATCGGAGGCTTTCCTGGAATAATTTTTACTGTTTTCAGCATTAATTATTGGAGTAACTGAACAATTATTGGTGTCTGGTTCAACTGAAACGAGGAAACCACAAATGACTGGTCGTGATTTACTCTTTCATTCATAAATCGAAATGAAATAAATTTGCAGAATTGAAATTATCAACATCTGCAGTTTCGCTAGGGAATAAGAGAAAAACTAGTAAATTTTTCCAAGAAGAATTAAATTGTCTGGTAGTGGGAAATTCGACGAATTTAATGAGAAATTAATGGGAAATTAATGGGATGAGCCATTTCACAACTGAGTAAAAATTTCTGCAAATGAAGGAAGATGAAAATATTCTCATCTAGACGGAGAGATTTAACACAACCAAAAACATAAGATAACGATAACTTGTCACAATCGAAGTAAATAGCAATTATTCATATAACCGTGTTCTGTGGGAGGTCATAAGCTCAGGTAATTAGATAATCATGACCCATCTAAGCAGTCTCCTGAAAAATGGTTCAATGTTACTGTTGTCCTTAATGAGACCGAACGTGATGTTAGATAAATGTCATACTACTTTAGCGAACAATTCCCAGTTCAATCCACTCGGTTATTTATTTATTTATATTTATTGATTCGTTACGGTGAAGTTATTTAAGTCAGTGCACATAGCAATGTCACATTTGTATAAATAATTATGTGAATATCCCGTACTGCCATAATATGTTTAAAACTTTTTACTCAATTGTTCAGATACTGGTAGTTGATTCATTTGTACAGGATTTTGTTGTACATTAATGTGTCATTGTTAGGTAGAAAATAAATTAATGGAAAAATTTGCAGGTGATGGTGATATTTTTCAAGTTATTATACATCATCGATTGGACGTATTTTTACATTTCAGGCCGTTCTACATCATTTAAAGAAAACCTAATGACCCAAAAATTACTCAACCGAAGAAATAGTCATTACCAAAAAAATCCATAATTATCAAAATTTTGAAATCTATAATAAACAAGAATAATTGTTTTTTTTATTATCTGACGGCTGGTTTTATAATGCGAAAACGAGTGGGCATATGGCAATAGCCAATTGCCACATTTATTGCCTAATCATATAAAGCACATTTTTTTTCGAGGTAAGATTCCGTCGTTGCCGACAGTCGGCGTATGCTCCGCCTCCAGGTGGCGCATTTTATCCCGAGGGGATGACTCCCTCCTACATCCCCAGAGCTCGCCATCACCAGGGGTTTTCTGCACGGAGTCATCGATCGATTCCGATGACACAGACCCCCCCACCGCCCCCCCTCAGCCAACCAACGTAATGATAAACACTGGGTGGGGCGGGGCGTGAGGTCGCCACAATCGCGGCTGCCACCAGTGCGCGTCCGCCGCTGTCAAAAGTTCATGAGTCGATTTGTATCGTTTTGCCCGTGTGCCCGTCTCTCTACCGCCTATAATGAGAGGCATCGACTCGTGAACATTTTAATTATTTAAAAAAAAATAATAATAAAACAACCAAGTGCCCCTCCCCCCCCGCCACCCCAAATGGAGTGATCTGGCCGCGCGAGGGGAAACCGAGAAAAGAAAAAGGGGAGAAAAAAAAAAAAATTCAAAAGGCTGATAAAACCGCGGAACCCGGGAACCCGATCGTTACACCGGAACACCGAAAAATCGCGGATAATTTGAATAATAATAATAATAAATTCAGTGCAAGTGGAAAATTGACAGGATTTATTTAGTCATCCGCTGTACCACCGCGCAATTCGTACTACCCAGCTCAGTGAATAGCCGGAAAAAAGGAGAGATATAGAGAGAGAAATTTTTCTCCCCTCAGACTCCAGCAGCCGCCCGTTCTCTTATTCGCTCCCTTCTCAATAGATAGTTGGCCGACTGGGACAAACCGGGGCTGTGCCGGTCCGGAGGTTCCTTCCAATTATCGATCAAATAGACACCAAAACCCACCCGGAGCATCAAAACAGGGTAAAATCAGAAAATTTTTTTTTTTGGGGGGGGGTACCACCCCATTAAAATCGCGAATGAAAATTATCGTTTAATACCCAGTTATTAATTTTGTGATAAATGCACTGTTGCGCAAAGTAGCGAGATAGAGTGAAGTTGTGGATGTGAATCGGTGGGAGCGGAATAAATAATTATTTTGCCATTTTAATTGGTGGAGTTGAGCGTCTGGAGTCATTGAAGTGCATGTCAGAGTGCAGAGGGAATCATTACCCCTTTCGGTGGCTGAGAGGTGCGATTAAGTGATTGGGAGGATTTATCGTGAGTATTTTTATGGCTTTGTTGATTTATCCTTTTTTTTTATTTCTTTTTTATTTGGTTGTGATGATTTGCGGGTGCAGGGGGAAATGATTTATGCAGGGGTTTATTGGATTTCTTCGTTTTTTTTTTTTTCACTCATTTTCTTCGCCTCGTTTCCACTGTCGCCACTGTTCCTCACTCCCATGCGCACTGAATCTCACCTTTTTTTTTCTTTCTTTCGTTCTGACTTTTTTTTTTTCGCCTGTTGGCGGAGGGCGAAAGGCCTCGCGTTATCCCGTGGAAATTGTGTGCACGCTCGATAGGCGCGGTCACGGGGTGGGATTTAACTTCGGGGGATAGGGGGTTTTCGGGATGGAGATGGGGATGGCTCCCTGCAGGATTTTCACGCGGAGAGAAAAATTTATGAAAAATCCCCGGGCAGTTTCGTAATCCTCGGACGAGACCGGATTTTTTACAGGATTTTTTTCTGTTTTAAAATTACGCGATACTCTTGGATTATTTCGGCTGCCGTCCGTTATTTTTCAGGAAGATGTCACATTTTTAATTATGACTGGTGTGATACTCTTGTATTCTTCGTTGACGAATTTGTTGACGGGAATTTTCAGGCCTTGAGGATTTCGAAAATTCCGGCAATAATTCCTCTAAATTTCCAATCTATTAACAATTTAATTGTAATTGATGTTCCATTTTGTAAATGAATCTGAAAACTTCAGCTTTCATTGAAAAATAAAGATCGATTACCACGAAAAGTCTGATTATCTTGAATTTTAAAAATGAAAAATTTCGAAATTTTCAAAACGTTTTCAATTAAAATTGAACGCAAACTCTCATAATTGAAACGGATGAGAGTCCAAAAAATTTCCACAACTTTTCATGTTCTGATTTTCATGTCATATTCACTCTCACCGTGGACTACATTTACGGAATATATTTCCATTTTAATGGACTCGAATTAATTGAATATTGACCGAAATTTACTAGAGTGCCCCATTCTACCCCGAGGGAAACTATTGATCGGGATATATTAGAGGCGGAAGTTTAGGGAGGTTTTTGCGAGGGGATGAATTGGAAAATCAATTCGGAGAGGATGAAGAGGTGGAGGGTGAGGGCTGCAACAGGTAATGATTGGCTCGGAGTGTCTTGGGGAGGGCGAAAGAAAATTTTCCCTTCTCGAGATTTCGATTGGTGGGAATTTAAGAAAGAAAAAGGAAAATTCGACTTCTTCATCAAAAATTATTATAACCAACGGTTAAAATTCCCCAGTGAAATTCGGGGTGAGAGCCTAGGAAATTTCTGACAAGTAAAATTTCTCGAAAGTTGGTAAATAATTAAGGCAATGTCATATATAACATCATAATGAAATTGTTAAACACAATTCAATTATTATCTTTAGATGTGGGAGTGCTGAATAGATTCCTCTGTCAAGATCATTGTAATGAAAATTAGATATATTCTTCTGGGATGTATTTATTCTGACTCTTCGTCTTCTTCCTCTTTTCCCTTCGTCCCTTCTCATCCTATTTATTTTAGACGAAGATAAATATATCGTAAAAATTACGGAATAATTCCACGGCTTTAGAGGAATTGAGGAAAAGTAATTTTACCCGAACAAGAATAATCTCGGAAAATTCTCGACTTATTATGCCTGATAAAAAAAATCCATGAATGTTAAACAATTTTTAAGCGTTTATCTTTTATATTTATTTTTTAATTTTCATTTTTTTTTTCAAGTTTTTTTGGTTGCGAAAATCCATTCCACCAGTCCGCAGATATATTTTTTGACGAATATTTCTGACGAATTCAATCATGCGCGCCGAATTCGCAGTACTATTTTGTTATTATAAAAAATTAATTTTGTAAAATTGATAAATTTCAGATTAGGAGTGGTTTGGAGATCGTTGTAAGGGTGGCGTCGTCAGGCGATCGTTCGAGGGGGCACAGTGTGCGGCGGTAGTCAGGTGGTGTGCGTGCACAACGCGCGCGTCCACTAGGAGGGTTAGTGATAAAAAATAGATAAGAACAAGAATCACCATCATCAAGAGAAAAAAATATTGAAGAAAAGAAAAAAATTCAAATAATATCGAGAAGAATAAAGAGTGCGTCGGTGTGTGCGCGTGTGTAGTGATTGAAGGTGGGTGAATCTAGGGGTGTGTGTTCCATAAGGTGTTAGTGACGTAGCTGTGGCGGGGGGTATTTTGCCTTGTAGGGGGTGGAAAGAAAAAGGAAAGGAGTGATAAAAAGGCGCGTGGTGGCGTTTGTGAAGGCAACGTGTAGCAAGATGGGCTGTGCCATGTCTGCGGAAGAGCGGGCCGCTCTGGCCCGCAGCAAACAGATCGAGAAGAATTTGAAAGAGGATGGAATACAGGCTGCTAAGGATATCAAATTACTGCTGCTTGGTAAGATATTTTTTTTTATCCAATAGATTTTTTGAAAATTTGCGATTATCGATCAATCGATCGATTTTAATCGATTTTAATCGATTGTCGGCGATCGATATATAGTATATAGTACGATTATCTGATGAGTGACTCAACTAAAATTTACATACTTTCCTCACGCGAAACCTCTGAAAAATGCGGTAAAATACGAAATTTAATGTCACCACCACTGAAATCTCAAGAATTTCCTTTGAATTTCCTTGAATTTTCCGTAAGAATTTTCCTCGAATTTCAAATATTTTCCTTGAATTTTATTTGGAAAGTATAGAACAAAATTCACTCGTTGTTTTTTTTTCGAAACGAAAACCTAGAAAATTTGATAATAATTTTTAACCATCTGTCTGAGGGAAGCAATTATTTATCCAAATATAAGAAAGGTTATTTATTGACATTGTGACATGCTGTAACATCTTTAATCTCTGAAATTTAAAGTGCACATATTGTTGCCACATGTGGTTGAAACCCAAGGGTCTGAGTCCTTCCGGTTGTGACAAATCTGTTCACACCATCCAACAATTCCAGGCGTGCATTTTTTTTTATATCCAAGATAACGAAAAGAATTTATCTCTGACTCTTTAACTCTTTCCCTGGGCGTTTACAATTCCCATATGATTTTAACGACAGTTTGTTTTCTTAATTGTGGACCTCCGGGATGTAGAAGTCGGTACGAACTTGTGGTTAAATTTGGGGTGTAGTGCAGTGAGATTAATGTTTTATCCTTCATCCGAGGAAAATGTGGAGCATTTCCGATCGAGTCGTTTGTTTTCCAACTTTTTCAATGCACAGATCACGTGAATGTCCATTTTAATTTATTGTTGTTGCCAATGACGTCAGAAAACTCACACCCAGTCGAGTATTTTCATCCGATTTCGAAGGCTATCTACCGGAAGTGAAATAATCTACCAAAATTTTACGGTATTAACAAGAATTTTTAATTCAATTTAAAATATTCAATCAATTATTAAATAAATTAATTTGAAGAGTAATTAAAATATTGTAGTAATCATGGGTATTTTTATTTGGGTATAATAATTGAATAGTTTAGATCATGTTTTGGTAATTAAATTCGCTTTGTTATCAATTGTTCATCAATATTTTTTCAGAATTTCATTCAATTTTATCACAATTTTAAATGGTTTTTACGTTGTTTTTTACAGTAATTACGAGGAGTAGTAATTAATCTACATTGAATGACGTACACCCTTTGGAATTAAATATATCTGACCTCCTTGGAGCCCACGCGAGTTTTGCTCTTTTGGTTCACGTTATTAAGATTATAAACTATAATTCCGGATAAGGTGAATGCAAAAAAAAAAATTGAAAAATCTATGAAATCAATTTTGGCATTTTTTTTTCTGCATAATTTAATTAATTAAATTTATGAATTTTTACGTGTGCCACACAGCGTCTGATATATTTTTTTGACTCTCAATTTTAACCTGTAATTTTTAATTACCATTTCTGTCCTTTGATTGGCCATTAATTTTGGCCTTGAGCTTGGGATTCTCACACTCTGGATTATTTTTTAAATTTTTTTCTAGGTTTTCTTTTTGAAAAAAAAAACAACGCGTAAATTTTGTTCTATACTTTCCAAATAAAATTCAAGGAAAATATTCGAAATTCGAGAAAAATTCTCAAGGAAAATTTTTGAATAATCAATTATGCAATCAACCTCAAGGTCTAGCTCACCCGAGATAACACAATAATTCAATTAAAAAAATATAAAATTTTTGATGTGACGAATGCAATGTAATTCGACGAATAAATAAACAATTGGAGTGTACGATAGATAAATAATTTGTTATTATTAAAAAAAATGTAGTGGAAAAATTCCACATTATATATCAGTAGTGTAAATAAATAATAATAGTAAAATATAATAAATTAAAATCAATTGTTCGATCCCAAAAAGGGAATTTTCAATTTGATATTCGAATTTTGGAGTTGGAAACAAAAAGAGGGGAGGGAAAAAGAGGTAATTGGAGTGGGACAAGTACGTTAATACGTTTTAAAGTCTAGATTGCCATTATAGGCGGCTACTTAACAGAGAGCTTTAAAAGAGGGAGAGGGCTTGCGGTAAGCAGGAAAGCAAGTTCCCGTCACGTCATATCCGCTTATAAAATACTACGTACCGAGAAAATTTCCGAGCCGCATTCTGTCGGTTTTTTTTCCTCAATTATATTCAAATAAAGCGGTAGATTTTTTTTAAGAAGATTACCTCTGCTTGTCTCCACTCCAATTACCCTCCACCAGGATTTTGCATTCAAGAATAATTTCAATAAATTCTTAAAGATAAATTGTCCAGCAAGTAACAAAATGGCGAAGGCTTCGGTGAATAACGCAATTGGTAATTGCCTGCGCAATTTTTAGGGAACACTTCGTTATTTTTCTGGTAATTATTCGGAGTAATTGATAGTAAAATTTGATTAGTAAAATTTTCTTGCAATTTTTGGAACAGGTGATTTTTGGAAATCGTGAAATTTCAGATTTTACTATAAATTCTACCAAATAATTAGTGAAACCCGGAATTTCATGATATTTTCTTTATTTATATATTATATATTGAAAAAGAATTGAGAAATAATTAAATTGAATAATCAACCCGATTTTCAATCGGCAAGAAAAAAATTCCACTTGTTAAAAAATGAAGATTCTTTATATTTAATAATAACCGTAACACATTATCCTGGAAATCCCAGAAAAATCGAAACCCTGAATATCGGGAAAGACTCGCCCTAGTGCGCAATCTCAGATGTCTCACCATCTTTTCTAATTTCAGGTGCCGGAGAGTCTGGGAAAAGTACTATAGTGAAACAGATGAAGTAAGTACTAATTTATGAAAAAAATATAATGAAAAAAGAATTGGCAATTCCCGAATGAAAAAAATTGAGGAAAAATGGAAAATGAAGTTTTTTTTGTGGCCTTCATTTGACACCCCTGTACTGTGCTTTTGGCCCGACTGGTATGAGCAGAACAAACTGTTGCCTGTTCTGTTCCCTTTTTTTTTTCTCACTCAAGATCGATATTTACACGTTACGATAGAGAAGTACTTGAGGTGAGCAGCTGTGAAACATTTTGCCCACAGACACGCGACATCTACTCTCCCTTTCCTCTTTTTGTAACTTAACTTGTTTCTTTTGATTTTTTTTTTGCCTCTTGTTGGCTAACGTACGTGCTTCTTGGATCGACTTCCTCTTCTCCAGTTACTTTGGTTGTGAATGAGTCTTTTCATTGAAATTCCCTTGACAATGATTCCGCTGTTTTGTATCAGGATTTTTATCTCCTGAAGTTTTCTCAAAGTTTATCCACTGGATTTATTTTTTCGGCTTTCGAGCTTCCGGGTGGAAGCTCTTATCAAAATTTATGATACCCATGAATCTTTTGGGAAAATTGTAAATGAATTTGAAGGTTTTTACAGGAGGTTAAAGCAATTTTTATTTGTTTAAACAATTTCCACTTTTCTAATCAATTGAATAGCGAAGGGATGAAGAGTTTACTCTTCTCTTTTTGCTCCATTTTTTGACAATATCTTCAGAAATAACGAAGATGCGAAAATTTTTGTTATTACTGTTTTTGTAGAAATAATGAAGAGCTACAGGAAACGTCATTACAGAAATTTCTCTATTTTCATTATTTTCCGAGATATTTCCGGAAATCTGGAATTTTGTTTGAATTATGCTTCAAAATTGATAAAAGCATAAAAAATGTTTATTATATTTTGGAATTTTTAAATAAATAGCGGTTAAATAAATTCGAATTTCCGTATTTCATGGCTTCAGATGAATATCGGGAATCATCAGAATGAGTGCTAGAAGTAGTTGATTGGATATTCATCATGAAGTTTATCAAGTTGATTTTTTATTTTTTAAATAATTTGTTGTTTGTTCTCAGGATTATTCACGAGAGTGGATTTACGCCGGAAGACTTCAAGCAGTACAGACCCGTTGTTTACAGCAATACGATACAATCTCTAGTCGCTATTCTTAGAGCAATGCCCATTTTAGGGATCAGTTTTTCGACGAATGAGAGAGAGGTAAGAACACTCTGATTAATTAGTTTTTCCGCGGTGAAGAAAAGGGCAAGGTCGACCAAAGATAGCAAAGAAAAAAAATTCAATAGGAAAATTGTATAAATTCTCTCCTTGACGAATCAAACTCCTAGAATTACGTAATTCCCGATTTTCAGATCCATAAGTTATTAAAAATTAATGATTGATGTTTTTTTTTTAAAGTCATATCGACTCTGAAAATTCAAGATCTTAAAAAATAATTAATCATTTAACATTGAGATCGAAATTTCCATTGCAATTAGATTAAAACTCGCGTAATTAAAGTTCAGATGACATTATGACTGGGAATTCAATGAATTTTTAACTGTTAGATTTATTATAAATTATTCACGTCCACCGAAAGAAAAATTCACCATGAAATGCCAATTTAAAAAATGATCAAGATCAATTAAAATAATTGATGATCAATTTTGATTAAAATTGACTTGAAACCCATGTAATAAATTCCGATGAAATAATGACTGAAATGACAACGAAATTGAAGTGTACCATTACAGAAAGATAAAAATAAATGCACGTCGAGTAAGAATTCAAATAATTTCTCAGTACAAAATGAAATTAGTCCAGAAACAACGGAATTCTCTCGTAATTTTTCGCGAATTTCCCTCTTGTGGTAAAAGGGCGTTAGTGAAGGGCGGGACTGCAACAGGTGAGGTAAATAATTACCCGAGTACATGGTCGAGGTTGCCAGGGTGGGTAGAGGTCTTCGACCGTTTTAAGAGGGAAGTTAACAGAAAATCGATGACGTCTTGATCCAGAAGTTGTCTATTAATTCCAAGTGGAATGCCCCGTTGTATTGAGTGCTGATACCTCCCATCACTCGTCAACGTCTCGACGTTATTAATCCGGTATTGATTATTATGCACGCGAAACTAAATGATTACTCATTGCTTTCGAGATTGGTGTATCAGTGAGGATTGCGCACCAATGTGGACGCTATTTGACACGCTTCAACGATTATCTTATGAATGAGGCATTCACTCGAGCAGACGTGGCTCTTCGTTACAGAGAATCCATCCTTTTGGGCTAATGAGGCAAAATTAACTGAAATATTTATTCAGTATCCAATGAACACTTGGTGATTTTTAATGAGGTCATTGTCGGTCTTTGAGTTGCATTTATTGGATTGAATTCCCACTGATAAATATATCACACAGATTTTATATTTAAATTAAACTTGTATTTATTATTAATAATTTTGTACTCGTGTGGTTGGCATTATTTGAATAGTTAATTATGGAATAAATAATCGTAATCCAATTTTTTTTTATTTCTCGGTTTTTGGGGAGAAATTACGGAATGATTTATTGTTATACGATGAGTCATGAGTCATGAGATTGGTGGATAGTTTTTACGGAATATTCAGATTGTTTATTGAATTTTATTTCGTTCGCGGATTACGGGTGGAAATCTCATTTTTACGTATTTTTTCTGGTCATTTTTACTGGAGTCTACTCTCCGTGTATTCTAATGTTAAATTTCGTGGACTATTAAATATTTAGATAAGAGTGATTACCGGAAATAAATGCTGATTTTTTTATTAGAACTCATGATACATAATAATATTTTCATAAATTATTCCTCCGCAAACAAAATTGAATTGAAAAAAGAATTGAATTCAAAGAAAGATCTATATGCCTACAATAAAATATTAAAAATATTTATTTATCCTTATCATTTATTATTATCATTAGATAAAAATTATTTTAATACGTTGTTTCTAAAAACTTTTTGTTACACTTGAATTTTTTGAAAATGGAAAAGAAAATTTGAATGAAAATTTTTCGCAAATTCAATTGTCAATTTCTGAAGCGAGTGAGTAATGATTTTTTTTGCTTCAGACGGATGCAAAAATGGTATTCGACGTAATCCAACGAATGGAGGATACAGAGCCATTCAGTGAAGAACTTCTGGCAGCCATGAAGAGGTTGTGGGCGGACAACGGTGTCCAGGCGTGTTTTGGCAGAAGTAATGAGTATCAACTAAACGACTCGGCGAAATAGTAAGTGCACGGATAAAACATCGATCTTTCCTAGTTTCTTTGTCTTTCGAAATTGGCTCGATGGTTTATGTGACCCAAGTATCACGCTATACCCCGGTACCAGTGAGGGACAGGTAAACCAAGAGGTATAGATCGACACCTGATCGGCCAGTAGTAAAATTGTCTTTCACCCTCGCCGCGATCATTTAATATTGATCACTTTAATCGACGTTCCTCAAGAACTCACTAATCCACTCCTGTGGATTTGACCTGCTCTAGTTGTAAGGAATGTGCAATCGTTTTTTCGTGTGGTTTTATGATTTTTTTTTTATTTATGATTTAAAAAAAAAAATATTACTGGTTTTTTTGCTTGCTCGTACTCTGGAGAAATTATACTGGAGATTTCAAGTTGAAAAATGGGAGAATTTTTAGAGAGAGAAGTTTTTTTTATTGGGAATCATTCAATTTTTTGAATATTCTGATAATTTTTCATTTTGTAGAAATATAGAAAATTTAAATAATAATTTCACTGAATTCTGAATCCATTGAAAATTCAATTGTATTTTACGTTGAATTTTCATAATGAGTATGAAAATTTAGACTTTATTAAAAACTTTATTATTACTAAACATGAAAATTTTTTTCTGGAATTTTCCAGGTAAATGAGAAATTTAATAAATAATTGTTTTTAATTGAAATTTGATTCAAAATTGAAAATTCAGATGTCTTGTGACTGGAACTTGAAGAAATGTTCAACAGTACAGATTTACAATTAACAAAACAATTAACAAACATTAAGATTTCTTCAAACGGTTACTTCCTATTAATGAATAATAAATCTTTCCACTGATGTTTAAACAAACAGCAGCCTGACATTTTTCAAAATTATTCTCTTGCAATAATTATTAATTCTTTGTTGAATTTAAAATGAATATTATTCTGAACGAGAAGACACTCGAAACGCGAAATTGCGCTTGTTGACATGTAGGAAAAATCGATTTTCCACATCCTGTTGAATACGAAATCATTTCGATACAGAGAAAATAGTCTGGAAAATGTCAAAGGGTATTTTCGCTGAGGATTCCTCTGCATTTGTTCTTCCAAAAGAAACCCCCAAAAATTCCCACAATTCGGGGAACAAAATCAAATTTCAAATGTCCATACATTTATTTAAACATTTATTTCTTAAAAACGACTTACATAACTTGCAACACCGTTTGTAATTTTTTATGAGACGTCGAAAAGGTTCGTGCCTCGTTCGCCTTTAATTCTAAAAAATTCAGGTCGTAATTTCCAATAACAAACGAAACGTTCATTCTGACTGAAGACTAGCTTAATCCTGATTAACCTTTCTTCTTTAGAAGTCCAAAACAGTAATTAAATCAATCCGAGAATTATTTATTCAGAGGAATTTTAGTTCGAATTTTCTCTCTGATCTATGTGATCCAATCCTAAAATTTTCTCGGTTCCCAATAATTTTCGAATTCCCCAATACAATTATACAATTGCACAATTACAAATATGCGATAAATAAATGTTCCACCGCTGTACGAAGTTCCATCACCCTAAGATAATTTTCTCCCGCACTTTTCCAATTTTTCATAATTTTCCATAACACCACAGTATAAATTTATATTTTTCCAAAAATCATAACTCGGTCATACAGCTTCAGAAAAATTTCAAATTTTCCATACGACTCTGTAATACATTAAAGAATGTCAGAAAAAAATTTGATGAGCTTCAAAAATATCGAATCAGAAATATCGAATTTTTCGATTTTTCCCGCCCGGAAGAGCAGCTTTGAATTACGGTAAATTTTCGAAAAGTCTTGTGAAATTTTTTTAACAGTCCAAGTGGGGATGTGGTGGATGAGTTTATTAAACAGTAATAACGGTTGTTGAGTGAAGAGTGGGTAGAGTAGGGCGGCGAACCCCCATGCGACACAAATTTCCACGATAAAATGGTGAGGGACGGAGAAGAGGGAGTTTAGGTGTGGGTGGGTGGGCGTCGGGGGATGGGGGAGGTGAGAGGGGGTTGAAAAGTACCGAGGGTACAGAGGGAGTATGTAGAATGTAGAGCGTGCAAGTCTATGTTGTATTGATCGTCAATGACGTCACGCCACGCCCGTGTCACGTGGTCACGTGGCTGATGCTGGCGCCCCTCCTTCCGTTCAGGTACCCAACCTAAACCTAAACCAGAACCCAGTTGTTGTTCTCTTCATCCCGTACTACTGGTGATTAATCCCCAGTTTTTAGGATGCAACTGAAAAAAAAATAATTTTCTCAACTGCTCCAAATAATTTTTTACGGTGCACCTGAAATGAGGCACCTTCTGACGAGGGTGATTTCAGGATTCTCATTCTTATCGATCCACTTTATTTTTTAGCTGTACCGTAATGGAGTATTTACGCACTCCTTCGGACGATTTATCGTCATTGGTATTACATACTTCCCAAACTCGAAAACTTGAAAAATCATTGGAGAAAAATGTGATAGGAAAATATATTTCTGATATATCTTTGATGTTTTTATCAGAACAAAATGTTCAGATCAGTCATCAAGTGTTCCAAATCACTTTCAACCATGAGAATTGTCTCAACTATGACATTATTATTTAATAAATGACCTTGACTGAACTTCGATGACGATTATTACCATTTAGAGTTATCCCCATCTGGAGACTTGAACTCTGAATTGAATTGAAAAAAGTATTTTATTCTGTAAAAAATGTAAAATCTTAGTTGAAATATATTTTTCCGAGACGCTGCTAATAGGGTGGAGGGTCAATTCTCGGGGTTCATACAACCCCTAAAAAAACGTGCCATCACCCCATGAAGAGGGCGCTTTGATCGCTTTTGAGGCCTAGACAGGCTGAATGTGTCAGTAACTCGTCATTATACTCTCGACCAGATGATTTTCATCATCCCGACCCGCGCATGTCGACCGTTGAGGTTGGATATCCCTCCACGAGAGGCATGATCAAAAGGGATCATAACATTAAATGCGATAATTTATTTACAATAACAAATATCAGATCGAAAATAAATATTACAACAAATTACGAAATTATAAGAAAAATCGGGAGATTCTGCGAACCGATCTGACTCTACTGTCGGGGAAAGTCCATTTTTACGTTTTTCGCGTTTTTTTTTTGGCTGCCGTCCGACTTAGAACGAAAGGGGCGTTAATCCGTGATACCTTGGGTTTTTTAATCATGTGATATAATTGTATAGTTAGAAATCATGATAATCCAGAGGCATTTTATGAATATCTCTGAATCTAGGAGACAGAATTTTCATGAGAATTTTCATGAATTTTCTTATTCAAATATTAAATTTAAATAGAATTGCATTATTTTAATTTTTTGGTATAATCGATAACATTCAATCGATTATTTTCTGATGACTTTTCAGCAAATTGGAAATTTTCGGGATATTAAAATTCACGAAGATTTATAAGTTTCTGGTTAAATTGACATAAAAATTTCACAAGTGATTCAATTATCCCAATTTTCATAAATGTTATAAATTTTTCCGGCCCGATTCAATTGAACTAGAAAATATATTAATAATTCATGAATAGAAAACATTTATAGCGGTTGTCCACAAAAAATAATTTAAACTATTTGAGGTGTCGAAAAAAATCAATTCAATATGTCAATTAGAAAAAATCCAGTTTTGATATTTTGAAAGGAGAAATGAGATCAGAAGAAAATTCACGAGTTCCATGAATGTATGTGGTAAATCATATTTCAGAAATTCATCGGGTAATAAATAAATGATAACGCCATTTCCATTTATAGATCCTCGGCCCTTTACATTGTCCATTCGCCATTATCGGATTGAGATTAGGGTTTAAAGAATTCTGAATATTTCATGAAGATTTTTATTTCAGTGGAGATGATTGACGATGTTAACTGGCTTCTTCTTTTTTACAGCTTTTTGGATGACCTAGACCGATTAGGGGCGAGGGAATATCAGCCAACGGAACAAGATATTTTAAGGACTCGAGTTAAAACCACTGGAATAGTTGAAGTTCACTTTTCATTTAAAAATCTCAATTTCAAGTGAGTACTCTCGACAATTTGCAATCACTCCACTCAATAATCCATTTCATTCTACCACTGAGGAAGACAATAAATTGAATTTGTTGAAACTTTATTATTCAATAAACGAATGATCATTTCACGTCAATTTTCAGTCAGGGATTTATTTTATTATTGCAAATGAACAATCACTTGCACTTCTAATGAGTTCATTAAAATCGCCTGAATATTGACGAATGAATTAATTATTAATAAGTAATTTCGATAATCGTGAGAGCTTCCAGGATTTTTTTTTCGTGGAATTGTTAATGGAAATATTAGAAAACTAAAAAATGCGTTTTGGGTTTTTTGATATAACATTTTTATTTAATAATAATTGATCCCCTTTTGACCCTGAGACAAAAAAGAATGAATCAATTAACGATTGAATTACGCTACACAGATTATTCGACGTGGGTGGACAGCGGAGTGAGCGTAAAAAATGGATACACTGTTTCGAAGACGTCACAGCAATTATTTTCTGCGTGGCAATGTCTGAATACGACCAAGTCCTCCACGAGGACGAGACCACGGTGAGAAAATTTATCAAATTAACCACATAATTATCTAGAACTGGAAATATTCATAAACTGTCAACTGTAAAATTTTCAATTTTCATTTCAAAAACTTTTGTGATCGCGAATATCTCGTGAATGAAAGAGAATAGAGAAATTGACGTGAATATCTTTTTTGTGGAGTGATATGTGGACTAGAAAAAAGATCTCTTTGATAATTTCGATATTTCTGTTCATTTAGGAGATATTCAGGGATTATTGGGACCAAGTCAGATTATTCTAGTTTATTAGTTGGACAGGGGAATCAAGAGTAGTTATTAATTCTGTGGATCTACAGAATGTCTCATTCTAAATTCCTCTGGCAATTTACTTATTATTAATGCGCGTCTGTAAACGGTTACTTGAGAACAGTGCGTCAGTGATGTAGAGCGTGTTTATATTAGATCGTACATAAGATCGAGTTTTAGAGTCGTTAAATCTGGTTTTTCGAGCCTCTGGTGTTACCACTCAGTCCAACTCATGGCAATAGAACAATAGATGCTGCCTTTTGCCAAGTGCATCTCAGGTTTCAAGTCATTTTTATTGCACCGGGATAAATGGAATTTCTTTTTTGAACTGTCAAAACAAAATGCAGTGAACAATTGTCACCAGATTGAATCATAGCGAATATATTACGATTCTCGAAATCGGATAGATCAATTTTCAGTAAAAATATTTAATACTCCAATAATTACAATTTATAAATTTCTGTGGAATCCAAAAAATGGATTATTCTTTTGAATTACTGAATTAGAAATACGATTTGACTAACTGAGAATAAAAAAATAAATGCGAAACTTTCAAAGAAAAATAGAAAAATAGAGAAGAGAGAAAAATCCATGGCAAATGATTATTTTCCATTGATTAAAAATTTTTTCACGTCGCCAGACTGAATGAGCATCTTCTGAATGAACTCAACTAATCTAAATTTAGCAGAAGAAAAATGTTGAACTTTGATACAGAGTGAGGGACACCCAGCCAACAAAACACGCCAAGAAAAGGGTTTGAATGAACCGAATTAGAGGATCGTTGAGGCGTGGAAATGGTGTGTGTTCTCTGTTGCCTAGAGAATACTGAGAATGAAGAGATCAATTAGTCGGGGTCACAATATGTGGGAAGGCTTCCATTCAATTTCGAGTCTCGCATAAAATAATACGCACGTACAAGTGTCAATGTGTGGATCAATTGACACAGTCACACGATAGTTTTCATTCAAGCCCCCGTGTATCTACTTAATTGTTTGTTATTTTATTGCTGCACGTTGGAACGTGCAGGCATCGTTATTCTCTCCAATTCAAATTCGGTTTTATGATTTAACCCTTGACGTCCGGGTTGGTACGTGCACTGCCCGAGCAATCACTTAAAAATCACATGAATCATTCAATCGCTGTGAAAAATTTTTATATATTCCATAATATCTCATGACTTATCGAATTATATTGAATTATCAATGGATTTTTCATTTTTCTCTGAATTGTTTATACCGAAAATTTATTGATAGCCATATTGACGTGTTGGAAAAATTTTATTTCGTATCTCCATGTGAGAAATTTTTAGAAATTTCATGAACTCTTCGATTGAAAAATGGATTGATTATAAAAAAAACTTTTTCTGTACTGACAATGACTTTTTCATTTTGATTTTTGAGTGAAGCGAATTCGGATGATTAATGTTCTGTTTTTCGGCTTTCAGAATCGGATGCAGGAGAGTTTAAAACTGTTCGACTCAATCTGCAATAACAAATGGTTCACTGACACCTCGATAATCCTATTTTTGAATAAGAAGGATCTGTTTGAGGAGAAAATCCGCAAGTCACCTCTCACCATCTGTTTTCCTGAATACGCCGGTGAGTTACGCCTATTTCATTGTCATCGTGAGTGGAAAGGATATGAATTTTGGGACTCAATTCCCAAAAGGATTTTGAACGATACGAAGCTCTGAACCAATTCCAAATAATACAATTTAATTCTGAAAGTGTAACAAAAAAAATTACTCCATTGACGGAAAAGGCTCACAACATGATTTAGATACCGTATAATTCATCAGAGAATATCTTATAATCTAACAGAGATATCGAAATCATGAACATGACCTTTTTCGAAGCTCTCAATTGGCTCTAAAAAAAAGGTTCTATAAAAAATTTCGCTAGGGCCTCCAGATTCCCAAATTTTTACAAAAAACCTCAATAAGTCAAGTCAACTTTTTATCCTGAGATTCTCAATGTTATTATTGATAAAATAAATTACAGTCAATTGATTTATTTAATTTATTTCAAATTTAACTCAAAGGTCGAAAGGAATTGAGGGTTGCAAGAACATTCATAAAAGATTTTTTACGTACAGTCAGCTATGAATATCAAAATATCCAGACATTTTTGTATAAAGGAAAATAATAATTTCCTCCCCTTTAAATATGCAACAGGCGCTCAGGAGTACAGTGAGGCAGCGGCATACATACAGGCACAATTCGAGGCGAAAAATAAATCGACCACAAAGGAGATCTACTGCCACATGACCTGCGCCACAGACACAAACAACATTCAGTTCGTGTTCGACGCTGTCACAGACGTGATTATTGCCAACAATCTCCGTGGCTGTGGTCTTTACTAGAGTTATTTCGTATTCTACATTAACGTACAGAAAACTAAAAACGTTACTGGACAAACGTTGTTTCCACAAAGAAAAAGAAAATCACTGGAGAAAAAAAAAAAGAATTATTTAAGAAAAACAATTTAAGCCAAAAAAAAAGCAAAAAAATTGATATCGACAGTTCGTTCTGGCTCAGCTCAGTGGCTGGTTGAGGGGGTGTTTTCCAGCCCCTGAATTTTTTAATGATCAATTGATTCACTGAATTTATTGCGAACCAATGTAGTGGATAATCGCAATTTTTGGGGGTGAAAATGTTGATTTGGCTGTGGAGATGAGCTGGAATGTACTTGATGGCCCATGAAGACGTTAAAACACGTCTCGTACCAGTGGAAGATGGATAAGTACGTTATTTGCGTCGACCAGCCAAGTCGTTACTTGAAAATATCGACACGCCGACACCGAGTTGCTTTTTCATTAATTTCAATTTTTCTAATCAATCTATTCCAAAGGCTATTTCTATTGTTTACATTTATTTTTTTATTGCTTTTCTATTTTCTACAGATGTATGCATGTGTGAGTCTTGGGTGGTATTTGAGCATGACGAATAATCGATATTTATGGCCTGGTTTATTGGTCGTTGAATCCGGTGGAAACGATGGGGGAAGAACGCGGTGGAAGATTCATTTTTTGTTTCGTGAACATCTTCGAGAGGAAATCCCAGAGAAAAATTATTTCTCATTTCCTGGAGAAAGTTCTCAATTCTGCAAAAGAAAAAGTTTTTTTCATGTTTGAACAGAAACTTGAAACGAGGAGTTAGCGAAATCTAGTGAAAACTTCTGTATTTTGAGGGAAAAAAATTCTGGAATTGAAGGATTTTTCCAAGGATAAAATACTTTATTCTGTGAAAAGCAATTTTTAAAAATGATTTAAAAAATGAAGAACGAAGTTTGGAATATTCTGGGGATGAATTGGAAGGTTTTCCCTTGAAATCACTAGTTCTAGAGATTTGCAGGATAATAAATGCGAAGGTTTCTGACATATCGCCGATTCTCCATCAGTTCGCCACAGATTCGTATGACGTGACATCACAAATGGTCTAAAAATACATAACGATCGATTTCATGAGGGCTTCAATTGTCAATGACACGAAGAAGAACGAATAATTTTACTTGTGTAAATTGGAAAGCTTTGAAATTGACAAAACTCAGTCATTCGTTCCAAATATACTTTTATTTCAGTTAAAAACTAATAAATCACGAGAGCACAACAAAATTTAACACTACAGCGACAGAATTGAAGACAGCAGAAATCTCATTTTATTAATTCTATTTATTTTTATTGCAAAATACGCACAGGATACAATGCACAAGTGAATTAGCTTCATTTCTCTCTCGCCAATTGTTGAGAGAAAAATTATTCTCGCGGGCATATTCCAGGTAATTCAAAGGAGTGAATATTAATTGCACTCTGAAGTGACAAAACGTGACAATTCGATTTTGCAGTTTAAAAAATTCAATGAGTTCAAATATATTCTGCGGAAATTTCTGAGTTTCTTTTTGAAGTTTTAATTCAACTCGCGAAAGATCTGAATCTATTGATTTCTTCTATGCAATGAGCTCTTGAATATTTTAAATAAAAAAGGGAAGGGGCGAGCTGGGAAATATTATGAAGAGGGCATTTGATTTTTTTAATGATCCTTCAATGTTCGAAATTTTTTTATTCATCTAGGGGAGAATTGTGGATAAAAAATTCGTTTGACATTCTGGGGATAATCTCATGATTAATGAACTGAGATAATTAATTATTGCGTTCCACCACTTCAATACAGATTGCAAGTGGCGCCTCTACCTACGCATGAGTGAAATGTACAATGGAGGACTAATTTCGTTTGAACGTCACAATGAGGATATTGTTATTTTGCGTACAATAGAAAAACAAGTCAATTCACAACATTATGAGGTAATTACCATTTTATCTGGACGGAAATCGTTGGCAATGTTTAAATGACAATATCGGTTTATTGGGGATTTGAGATCAATGGGTTGAGATGGGAGAGGTACAGTGATTAATAATTATCTCACGTTCTATCCAGAATTGTTTACGATAATGATTAAAAATCATTAACCATGGAGGAATTAATTCGAATATTGGCGGGGAAAAAGTCCGATCAATACTCATACTCGTGTTATTTAGTATTCATTAAGTCCATGAAAGCATTTTGAACATGTTTTAGTGCGATTTCCCCTCATCACATTTCCCTCTCAACTTTCTAGTTTTCGAGATAGTTCCAACGAAAACTGCACATGAATTTATCAATAATTCAATTGTTGTTATTCAATTAATTCGATACTGCAGTCTCTCAGGAGAAAATTTGTGAAGGCCTTTTTGTGGGAATTTTGTGTTCTCTCAGAAGGTTTTTTTTTATTGGAGTGCACAATTACCCTTTTTGGAGCTTTTAGCGTTTCCTCACGTCAGTGCAAAAGTCTGACCTCTTTTTTTTGTACAATTCAATTCCACACGATTACTGATTGCTAATTGGGTGGCTCGGTGAGCCCGGCCATGCTTAATTACCCCAACAATGGAACAATTCGATGAAGAATTGATTGATTGCCACTCGAACGAAAGTCAAAAAAAAGTAATGGAGACTCAAATAAAAATATGATGGCGACTCCAATAAAATTCTCGTAAAAAAAAAAATAAAAATTCGTGTAACTAGACACAGAAGTCGATTTTTCCAGCCCAAATGCCTTTTTTCATTTGAAGAATCAATCATTATCGATTGTGAGCGAAGAATCATGCAATGAGAGATGGAATCACTCGAGAAATACTGGGTGCAATGCATAAAACGTAAAACATAGATTGAGAGGATATCAGTGAATGACAGAATGAAAAAACTGATAATATTCTTTCACCTGGGAGACCTTGTGAAAAAGTTTATCTGAAAAATGAAAAACAACTAACTGGCAGAAGTATATTTGTAAGAATCTACCGATCACCGCGTTACACTTATAAATAATTGATATCGAATGAGAAATTGTAAGTGTGACTGAGTAAAAATGTGTTTAAACATTAATTTGTTAAATTCGTTGATGAAAAATGCGCAGAAATGAAGTGCAATGGGTCGTGAGGGGAAAAGTTAATCCTGATCACCAGAGATTTTTCTGACTTCGCAGCTGGGTTCGTCAAATTTCAGCGACAAAATACATTTTTTAATATTTATATTATTACCATTTGGAAAAATAACAATGCGAGATGTAATAAAACTGATTCAGGTATATTTTCAGGCGCCCAATTCGTTTGCTGAAGAGTAGATTGTCCTTTCACCGAACGATTTTCCCAATATGCTTCTCAATTCCATTAATTTTTTTCTATGTAACGGGGCCAATTAATTTTTAAACAAGTAGACATTGTTTATGAAAAACTGAATTGTTAAAAAATCGTTCGTGCAGATTGAAAAGCCACTTATCAGCATTGAAATGGGCCTTAAGGTATTTGAAGAATATCTGAAAGGATTGTGAAAATTGAAAAAAAAAAATGAAATAGTAAAGGCTTTTTTCTGTGTTTGCTATGTAAAAATTCAAGAATGTATTTTTTCAGTAATTAATGTTTTTAAAAATGTGAGCTCTGAGCAAAATTCAATTGGTACGAACGTGTCGTGATTGTCAATGCTTTACGTAATGCCTATCTAGTCTAAACATCGTTGAATTTTCCAAATATCCATGGCTCATTTTTTTATGAACAATCAACATCAAACATTATGCATTTCTTGAAAAAACCGTTTGCATCAAATGAGGAATAAGAAAATATGTGCTGCGAGTAAACTGAAGCAGTTGTACAAAGTTTCATCGTTATCATTGCTGAGATGATTGTGCAGAGAGGTTGAATCACTTTTTATTTGAACCAGTGATTTTATTTCATTAGTCAATTAATTATTACCGACAAGTTGCATGAGAAAAAATTAATATTCCGTTGGTTTGAGTTGTTTTTTTTCTCATGCATCCAGTGATTTTAACATGATTTATTTGTTTTGCAATAATTGTAGTTGTTTTTGTAATTATTTTCATGTAATCTGTTGTGAGTTTATGAGAGGGAATGTTTTTGGTGATTGCTGTGATGTCGAGGGCATTGATTAAGGATAATTCAATTATTCACGGAATAATTGATGCAGCAGCGTTAAAAAACATTCGAATTACTTCACTCCAATCGCTAACAGTACAGCAAAACAACACCAAGAATTTTCACTCCCTTGGTTCACGCCGCGAATTAATATTCATTAATCGAAGCCGAAGAAAACAAATAATCTCTCGATAATTGTCATTAGTACGATTTTAGCTAGTATTATTAATTTTTATTACTGCAAGTTGCCATATTATGATTAAAACCAAGAAAATATATAATTTCACTGCAAAGAAAGAATGTTCACTAGAGAAAAGAAAATTTGCCATTTCTAGACGAAGAAATTATAGATTATTATTATTAAAATAATTATAAATTAATCAATATTGAATCTAATTCGTACATATATCGTGTTTCTAGTCATATAGCCGAGAAAAATTAAGGGAAGAAAACATTGACACGCATACACTTACACGCACATGCCTCTCCAAAAAGTGAAATCATGCGCACAATTTATTATTTTTCCTCATAAAAAACAATTGATCCTTAAATCAGTGCCGGCGTGCTTTTTATTTAATTAATTTGACGATAACAATTTTTTTATGGAACGTGATAATTATGTCAGAGTTTTTCGCTGAATATAAGTGTGAAAAAAAAAACAGTAATGGGTGATTTTTAATAATTACGATGAAAAATAGAGAATAATGAATTTAATGGAAAAAAAAAATAACTTGTGGGACAAATTGTGAATAATTTGATGGCATGTCTGTCGTATGATAATTGCGATAACAAGTTGAAACGCTTGATCGGAGATACTTTATTAGAGGAAAGTGGCAAACATTAGGGAGTTAATTTGTTTATTGATTTTTAATTGCCTGGTGGAAAGACTCTGTTTAATTCGTGATGGATCTCTTTGGATCTATTTTCATTCCTAGGGTGGGAGCATCTTTGTGGGGCAGCTTGACGCGTGATGAATACTGTTTTCCAATCTTTATCAATTTTATTTACTATTCTTTAACATTCCTGATGAGTAAATGAGTCGATTCCAAGTCTCTCATTTGTGTTTCACATCATGAATTCAATACTCTCAGACAATTTGATGATACGTTCGAGATAATAAACCTGTTTTGCCACTTTATGAGATACGGTTTCCGACGAAGACTTACGTATCCTGACGCGGTGTTCAAAATAAGAATAAATAAATAAATGAGGAAGTGGTGGGGAACTGATAGTGGAGGGAAGATAAAAATTTATTAGTTCATCTCGTGGATGTCTCGGATATTAATGAATTCAGCGAAAAGTGTTGTTTCACTTTTCTTCGGAAAATTCGTGAGTTGTGGAAAATTTTTGAATATTTTCCTTTGAATTCAGAAGTTTTCGAGATTTTTTTTTGGGAAATTCGAAGAAATTTTTTGTATTCCCTCACCAGTTTTCACCACTTGCCTATGAAAAATCATGAATTAATGAAAAATATATGAAACAAAAAACAGAATATGAAATTCTGTGAACAATATTCGCCACACACTGCATCGTAACGTACTTTCTATCATTATGAATGAATTAATAAAAAATCAGTAATTAAAGGAGAAAAAATAAAAAAAATTATAGCGTTATATCGTAATTGTAATAATTAATGGTAATATAATGATCATAATATTGAATAATGATTACAAAAACAAATAATGTTTTATTGATGATTAATAACCAAGAGCGCACGTATTTAATTATTCATTTCTAGTTCGATGATCATTAATTTTTGTGAAAGAGTGTTGTGTAAGAGTTTAAGAAAGATAAACAAAAAAAAAAATAATGAAAAAAAAAATATTGAAATGAAAAAAAAAACAAAGTTGAACACAAAGTCGAACCTTACAAACTACACTAAGAGAAATTTCTCATTATATATAATTATTATGTAATAATTGTCCATACATCCTAAAATGTCGGAATAAACTAATACTAAAAAATTATTTATCCATGTTTTTCTATTTATTCATTTTACTGGTAATAACAATCGGTAATTCAGTGTGATTTTTTTTTTCAATGATGAGAAATAAATATATTTATATAAAAAATATAAATAATTGAATGTCTCACGTCAGAAATTTTTTGCATAAAACTGATATTTACGTGTGAAATAATTCCACATAAAAATTGTGATAAGTTTGAATTTTTTAAACGTTTTTCAACTTTCTAATAATATTCAATAAATACACGAATATTATTAATAATAAAAAAACTTGAATATGTTCATTAATTCTTTCGATCTTCAATGAATTAATATTTATTTTGATCAGTACTAAATTCATGTACAAATTATTTTATTGACATTCTATATAATTTTTGATTGATGTCAATATTTAAATAATTGAATATTAAATAGCGATGGTGAAAAGTCTTTGCAGACTGTGGAATCCCGTGGACGGAATATAATTCTCGATTGAAGGAACAATTTTCCTCAGGAAAAAGAAGGAGTTCTCCATCAAGAGGATTCTCCAGACATTGAGGGCAGGCGCCAGCTGAACAACGGATTCAACCGTGCAAATAATTCGTACATACTGCGTAAATGCACAAATAACAGTCGTTCATCACTACTGTCTAGGTACACACGATACATCACCATCAAGAAATAAATGCATCTCTCACACCATGGGGTATCCCTGGTGAACATAACGTACAATCGTGGTGAGCAAACGCACCAGTGAAAACGGTAATGCGGTTTGCACTCTCAACGGTGGAATAATTCTCGCGTTTCGAATTCTCGTGAGATCCTCAGGACGTACCCCAGGATAGACGAGGTCTTCTACCTACAAACAGCTTCCCCGTGTCAACACAATTGGCTCTTATATTTGCTCCGACAAAATCCAGCGATATCGAGTGAATTCGAGGAATAAAGAGATTTTATTTTGTTTCATTTCCTTATTATGGATTATAGTTAAGAAATTAGTGAGAGAATATGTGAAGAGAATATTATCACTGTTGGCTTATTGAAATAATGATTGTTAATCAATTTTTTTTAGCAGAGGAAAATCTGTGGAACTTGGAGCTTCCTTGAGAGTTCGAGGACAATCCTGAATTCTCAGGAAAAGAAAACCGAAGTTTCGACGATTTCCATCAATTTCAAATCTTCAAATAGTTTATGATCTTGAATTTTAAACAATTTTGGGGAGTGCTTTTTCCACTGCTCTCTATTCACAGAGAACTTTGATGACATTAAGGTGGCGTATCGATTTTCAGTCAGTGTCACTTTACTTTGACACTTGAAAAGTTCAGGCCGTGGGAGAAGTCAAAGTTTCCGAACTTCGATTATTGGAGGAGATGATAACATTTTCATTTCGCATGAAATTTTATTCCAACTTCTCCTCGGAATTTAATTCAATTTGCGCTGAAGTTTTGGCTCTACGATGCAGTGTAGTTCTTAGAGAATTGGAGACTTAGGATTATGGATTTTATGGAGGAAAAGTAAAGTGAGTATTTGACAGATTGGATAACCCATTGCGTTACTGATGAAATGGAATTCATTCATCGATGGAAACTTTTTCCCTCCAGGTCGGGATAATTTTAATAAAAAAACTGATAATTCAGGTGATTTGTTTACTCGTATGACTGAAGAAATGTTAATTGTTTTTACTATTCAGGGTAATCATTGAAAAATATATAATATAATATAAAAAAAATATATAATATAAAATATAAAAATGACTTGACTAGTTGTTAACTATTTATTGATCTCCAGAGAATGGTTTGAAAACAGTGCATTGAATTCTAGAATCGTCTGCTCTTTTATGCACTGAATTCATTATTGAGGGGTAGTTCAAATAGAGTTTGTAAAAAATCATTGAAATGTGTATTTTTCAATCCAGTTTATGATGAAGTTTCCTTGCAACTCTCGTTTCGTTTTCATCACTCTTTATATTGGCCCTGAACCCTTAGAAAGGTTTATTCATCATGTGCACTGTTGGATATCCGAAAAGTTTGATTTTACGTGTTGAAATGATTGTGCGAATGCATTTCGTCGGCTTTGTGTGAGTTTTCTATAGAAAAAGGTCAATGTAAAACCGTTTTCTCTGTTTTTCAATCAAAATTGGAATTCTGGGAAATTCGGGTCACGAGAGAAGTTGAATTTCCTTTTGATGAGTCAAAAAGGAGAAAAATTTAATGAGAGAATACTTTAATTCATATTTTTCTTCCTGAAGTTGTGAAGAACCCTTAATTTTGTCATTCGTCCTTTCATCCATTAATGCTTTATTAAGAATTATTAATGATAAATAAACCATTCAATTAAATTATTGAACATCGATGTTGTTTGAGTTTTAATTAAATGAGCTAGTTGATGATAATTTTTAAATTAAAAGATTCTTCGATTCGATATGACTTTTTCCCCTTCTATTCAAAACTCACTTTATGATAAATCCCCTCTTCATTCCCTCAATCTTCTCTCCTAAAAATCCGCAAATGGATCTCGACGCGAAGAGAATTTTCCACCCCAGAATATCAAATAAAAGTTTACTAAAAATCCGACCTCAATTTTTTTTCATCAAAAAATCCCCTCAATTTCGTTGCGATAAAAATTGGGTCATCTCACTCACTCGTATTTTACTGCACATCATGGTTGATAGAAAGAACATAAAATTTTTATCCGATAAAATTCACAACAAATTTTCCACTTGTCTGCATTTCTGTTAAAAAAAAAAATGAGAACATCAATTTCAAATCGATATGTTCCTCAGAAATTTATTAAAGCCCCAGACAAATAAAAATGTTTAAACTGAAAAATTAAATGGTCGCACTTTCAGAATTGCAACATGGCTGAAAGCCCGATCCCCAGAAAAACCAATTACCTCCCCCTCTCATCAATGCAGGATATTAATCCCTCCTTTTACGTTGCGTCCCTGGAACTCTCCGATTCCACATGATCCGTCTGATTTGATATATTTACCTCCCCCATTTTTCCCTCCCCCCTTTCCCCCTTTTCCGGCATAACCACCCCGATAGTCTCCCCCGATAACTCCTGATTAGTCTCTCCACCTTGTCCACCCCCTCCCCCCAAAAGTTGCTTATCACCACCAAAAGAATTCCTGTAATTATCATCAATACCCGACTTAATTACAGAAGCAGAAACTTGAAGAGCAAAGTCCTCCTTTTTCCTCGACTCCCATCCAATTTTATCGACGAGGGAATTTTTTTTCACCACTTTTCTCGACGTCTCTGTCAGCCTGACTGGAAGCCGCGACTTCCGCATCCTCTCCTCGGTACACTGAGGATGCAGAGCGGAAGAGGACTGATCCCCATCAGCTGTCACATCATTCAGTTCATCCAGACGAGACTGAGGGAGTGAAGAAGGCTCAGACAACAGTCCGTCAGTTCTCACTTTCTTCTCTACTGCATTTGATTTGACTGAGTTCTCGGTATGTCTGATCTCCCTCACTGCCTGATCATCACCAAGAGTTCCCGGATGATCAATGGCAATCAAGGGACGAGGATAATCGTTAGGATCAAAAGAAGCCGGAGAATTGAGGGGATCAGGACAATCAGGAATGTCCCACCCGAAGAACCCTCCGGACCTGGGTCTGGAGTTCACTCGGGGCCCGAAGTTCCTGAAACCCTTGTTGGAACCGCATGATGATGTCGGCCTGGAGATAACTTTATCCGGTTGTTTCGAGGAGCTGCTGTTAATGCTGAAGGCTTCGCTGGACGCCACTGAGGGACAAGTTATCGAGGACCTATCAGGTCCGCTCTCCTTCAAAGTTCTCACATCGAGAACTTCACTCCTGTCAGTCCTCAGCCTCGGAGGCTTCAACGGTCGTCGCCTCGTCTCCACCTGCCTCTGATCCTGAGTCCTCGTTCTGACCTGATTATCAGGTCTGACAGGCGAACTCGTCGGAAGACTTGACGTTGACTCCAGTTTTTTCCTGGAGTTCCTGGTGTTCAGGATTTTAACGTTGTCAGCGCTCTCTGCTAGTCTTCTGGGAGATCTCGGAGATGTCGGGGTGGTGCGCTCTTTGAAATCTATTAGTTCTGGAACCTGATCGATTTCCAGGGATGGATCGAGAGTTCCTATTGCTTTGTCGATGCTGATCAGGTTCTTTGAGGGGTTCTTGGAGTTCCTCGGGAGAAAGTGATCTGTAGGGTGGGGCTGTGGTGGATGGGGCTTTACTTTTCTGGTACTCGGGGGCTCGATGAAGTCAAACAAGTTTTCTGGGAAGTTCCTGTTCACTTTTAACAGGATCTTTGAGTCGATTGTGCTCAGGTGGTGGGCGTTCAGGACAACGTTACCCGGTATTCTCTCTCCAAACTGCTTTTTCAGGTTTAGCTCTATGAAATTATGACGGTAGAGCTCGTAGTCGTGGGTGGATGTGTCTGAGGGACACGTCTGGAGGGACTTTTTCCGGATCAGGGGTAGCAACTGAATATCGAAATTCAGCTCGTCCTCGGGGCTGGGGGATGATAATGGATTTGAGCGGATCGTATCGAGTTGCAGATTGACGTTAATTGCTGGTGTTGGTGGTTGCTCTCGGCTGGGGGGTGGGAAAACGGGTGGATGCTTCCGCGGGACAGGGGGAAAGTAGTTCATCGGGTTTTCCTGGAATTTTAAGCAATGGCTGGATTTTTTTTTTGGAAATTCCTAGGTCCCCGCCTTTCTTCTCTCATCCAAAAATATTTCAGATATTTTTAAAATATCTAATTATTTCCAATATATTTCCCAAAATATTAATTTTCCTCCTGGACTCAAAATTATTATTTTCCATTGGATTTCTTTTATAAAAAAAAATGAGATTTACACTAGAGTTATATAACAAATAGAATTCCATAAACTTTTTAGATTACAAAATGGTCTATTAAATATTCTAACAGATTCAGCCAAAAATAATTATAGAAAGTTGAATTGAAATTCAATAAAATATTCCGACGAATTGACAATTTTTCTGATAAGTATAAATTTATTTTACACGTCTTGTTCTTTGAACGGTCAATTATGCCCCTTCGGTGTTTCGCTCGAGGATAATTTAGCAATTCAGGGGGTAATTATATGCGGGGGTTAATGAGGTTGTACTCACGAGAAGCATTTGAGCACGTGCGATAAGCGGAATGGCCAGAAGAATCACCAGGATAAATGCGAGAAAACTCTCGAGGAAAAATGGTGGCACTGATTGTAGGGTTAACACGAATTTTGATGGGGCTGAAATACTCAACATTCCGACTATCGTGAGTCCTTTATCGTCGATCGTATCCAGACTGCCGTTGATTTTCTGACCTTCATGATAACAACACTCGCGGGTGTTGGATCCAGAGATCTTGAATTGTTGAATTATTCACCTCAATTTCTTTGACATTTCGTTAAATAACAAACGCCATTTTTTGGGAACAATCGAATGATAAAGCTGAGGATATTCACGTCGATCAATCAATTTTTTAATTCATTGATTTTTATCTATCTTCATGTAATGATCTCTACATGACCCGATAGATCCTTCTCACAGCTTTGATTTTTTTTTGTAATTAAATATTATAATATGAATAGAATTTTTTATTTATTTATTAAGTGCTGGAATTTTTACTTTTAAATTTGATATTTATTCGATTTCTGAAGACGAAGAGTTTTATTAAATGATTTTTTAATAAATAATTGATCCACATGAAATTTCTCTGGAATAAATAGACAAATCTTCCGTACATTTCTAAAAAATTCCACTTTTTCATCATCAGTATTATAAACAATTGGATTTTATAATTTAATCTGAAGACTCCAGTCCTAAACATCATTTTTCATTTATCATTCTTTTTCAGTTTAAATAAATGAATACACAAAATTAAAATTTGTTGTTCGATAATTGAAAACTACTCCACTGTTAAATTAAATTAATTGAGTTTTTTTTTTTGAATTCCAGCTTCAGTCCTATCAGTTACACTAGTGGTGAAAATCCCAGGGAAAACTATTCCATTTTTTTTTCTATTTGCGTATCAGTTTCCAATACCGAAGGGATGAAAACTAGCGTTTGTATCCTTTGATATTGTAAGATGGTGAGATTTTCTTGTGCGGGTTTGTTCATAAAAAATAGTCGAATGAAAGAAATAAAAATAAAATGAAATAAAAGAGGAAATTCTCGTTAAAGCCTGGCAGACTACTCTTTCATTCCTCATTTTTTTTCCACTATTGACTGAATTGTCGCTCTTCTGTAAGAGATTGAAGATTATTACATCTTCTATTTCCCTTTTATTTCGTGGCGATAAGATCAGTCACTCCGAGACCACCGAAACAAATTATCGTTTCTCTTTATTTGAATTTCATCTCCTCGAGACGTTACTGTCTCGAGGGGCTTCTTCATCCACTGCTCCATGTATTTCCATGTTTTTCATCGGGTAATCTGTTTATGGAACAGTTCAACAGAGATTTTACTCAATTTATTCAGTGGAAAAAAAAAATGAGTGGAAATTAGATTGGGAAAATTGAATGAGATTTTTCTTTCTCGTTAAACGATTATGCCGATGGAGACTGAATACTCTCGGTGCTAGCGACATTTGAATTTCAAATATTTAATTAAATTAAAGAAGATCGGATTTTTAAGTAGTTTTATCCTCTGGTCGCTGCGGCATTCAGAAAATTGACTTCAATCAAATAAAAATCTGAGTTTGAATGAAAATTTTGATGTTATATTAGAAATTAATGAAATTGTTTAATGAGTCCAATATAAATAATTTAATTCACTCAAAAGATTAATTTATTTATAGTAAATAAAATTCTAGTCGATTTAAATAAATAATTCTGTTGAATTCTTTTTCATTATTCATTGGAGAAAAAAATCTGAGGCAAAACGTGAGTATTAATTTTTCTTTTAATTTCACGTTTGTTGAAGTCTTTCTCTCTTGCGAATAAATAATTCAATTTGTTAATGACTACGTGCGTATTGTTGTTATGGATTTAATACAGGAATTGTGGAGTAAATAAATACAATTAAATGCTCATCAACAAAATTCCATTAACAAATTCCTGAAATTCACAGGATTAAATTCTTGTTCCTGTTTTTTGTTTTTGTTTAACGAGAGTACTGTTAACAATTTGCGATTTCGTTGAGTGCCTTCTCTCCATCAAAATGAAGAATAAAATTGGAGCTTCAATCCTACAAAAAAAAATCGATGACGTCAGCGCACGTGAAGCCCCAGGAATTTTAATTTACAGGTACATGGTACTTCAACTTTTCACCTGTCCGTCAATTATTTACCGAAAATTAATTTTTATTGCGTTTTCCAGTGAACAATTAAATTCTTTATGAATGAAAATCTGAATCACTGGAATTTCAGGTCCGATTTTCCTTTGTATTACGAATATTCTATGGAACATCCAAACTGAATGAATTAAATTCAAAGTCATAAATCGTTGAGTCAAGTTGAATAAAGGGGTAAGATGTATGTCGTGGATTTCTCTTGGCAACTTCTACCCACGTTCCCTTTAAATGTATATTAGAGTGGTACAAGTAGAAATTACACAAGTGTCCTCCCATTTTCATGGCGCATTAGGACCGTTAGTAGCTGTGGCTTTTCCACTTTTCCTCTACTTTTTTATTTCCAAGTTTGAAAAAAATTATTCAGTCACGTTTTGGGTATTAAAATTGCTAAGAAGGATAAGAAAAAGATTCATAATTAATTCATCCTCATGTGAAGTAATTTATCCGCGAATTTTAAATAGTAAATTGAAAATAAAGAGAGAGAAATTATATAATACTGTAAAATAAAAAAATGAATGTCCAGTTTTTTCATTTTTTTTCCAAATTAATTTTCCATTCGAATTTATTAAAAAGAGATCGGGGTATTAATCCAATTGATAGATGTAGGTCAACTGAATAATGACTAATATCGACTTTTCGACTGATAATTAATTAACTAATGAACAATTTTCTCGAGACGGGGATGGATTAATGGAATAATTATCTGGGTCGAACGAATTATTCACTGAAAATAGAATAATTACTCCGGGTCAATGATCGATGGAATAAAAATTGGATATTCACTTTCCCAAAAAAAAAAATCACTTACCCATGTAATTAAATGATTACCTGTAGTTGGCACTGATTTTTGAAAGTGATAATGAAATTTTCTGGATTCTGTTTAATGTCGATCTTCATTTAAGAGTTTTTGTCTCTCAATTTACTTTAACCCTTGAAAATCATCGGTTTACAACCCCTGAACAGCAAGCAGGTGAATGTCAGTCATGAATTGTCGTCGGTTGAACACAATAGGAGACTTATCCAAGTGGTAATACACTCGGTACTCGTTGGAAAAGCTGAGGTTCATGGATTCACCGTTGATGCTGGATACAGAGTGGGAACTTGTAGAAAAGCAATTTCCGAAGTTTCCATTCGCGCTCCGCGTCACGTTTCATTTGCAAGTCAGACTGTTTGCTCTGGATTTACGACATATCCTGTTACAAGAATGCTTACTGGGTTGATAGTAAATTTTCTGATGTATCTCATCACTCGTCGGATAATCCCAACCAACCATTAACCGCCCTGAGGTATTATTCACTGACAGAATTGAACTTTTCGCATATTCTTTATTTTTTTACTTCAACGTTTTATACATTCGATTATTCTATTACATTAATCATTAGAATTTTCATTTATTTTGGGAATGCATTCCTTATATTTTTTATTTTTGGTTTAAAAAATCTTCTCTTTCTACTCAATGCAGCAGCGAAAAAGTACAGAGTAACGAATATCTCCGGATTTAGGAGAGATAGCGAAATTTTTGGCAAAACCATTTTTGTAGCTCTCATTTCAGGGTATAAAAGAGATTTTTTGAAAAATTTTGCTAACTCTCTTAGATTTCTCGGAAAATGAACTAGTAGCAAGTAAGATGGATTGTGACACTTCTGCATTATTGAGTTACAAGTGCAAAATGGAAATAATTTGTAGAAATTACGTATTCAGGGAAGTTATGAAAAGAAATAAGTCCAGTGGAAATATTGTCATGAGTAATAGAAAGAATTTCCATGAGATTATTGAATTCACTTCACCACTTTTGCCGCTCCAGAACTTTATTACCACAGAAAAAAAAGACTGCACTTTCACGAGTGTCTAAGCTTAGTATTGAGAATTAGAGATAGAATGAACATTCCGTTGAATTTCACATGAATAAATTATAAATTATAATAATTGTGACCCAAACCCAATTCAATTTGAATTTTCCGAAATTTTCCACTCATTGAAAAATGAATTACTTATCATTTATCATGAAAATTGTAATTTTCTTGACTTTTTAAGAGAAATGAGGAATTTAGTGAGCATTTCTAATTGAAATTCTATTCAAACTAATATAATTCATCATTCAAATGATTTCGTGACTGAAACTTCGAGAAAATTTCGACATTGTCGATCCGTCTCGGAAACTCACACCTTTTCCTTTTCCTCTCCAACGAATTCTCACATCGAAAGTTGACATTTGTCTTCTGGATAATCAATATCCGGAGTCAGTGATTCGTGCGCTTCAGAGCCATTGGGATTCCCCAATTAATGAAGCTGCCTCCACTAATGACCAATTTACGAGTATCAATTGTGCGCGGGACTGAATTAATGAATTTTACTCTCGACTTGTTTCCATTCAATTTGTCTGAACAGTTTCGATACACAAGTGTGACTCTCGCTTTCTCTCAACACCTAAAACTTTTAATTTGATCTTCTCAATTGTCTACGACTTATTGCTAATTGTTTCATGGTAATTACGCTTGAGGAATTTCCATTCGAATTTATCACTGGAGTGGATTTTTTATCCTCAATTATTCTCTGCCAAAACATTTATATCTCATGGTATTGAACTGAAATTGGAGCGTCAAATTTCAAGTGTGAGATTGATTCTGCGGTGATTAATCTGCACATGACAGAGCTTGGAAACCAATTAATTACACCTGTTGCAGATTTAGTATTCCGGGTAGAGCTGACGGGGCAATAACGTGACTTAGTTAATTTCTTGGTTCAAAGCATAGTTATCAAACCGAAGTCCACACCCAAGCGAAATTGGAAATCCTGGGTTAATGGATTCGATATCATGCCTTGAATAACTTTTTTACATTATTATTTTTATTTCTTACGGCAATATGGAATTACATGGTCAAGGACTCAGGACTTTGGCGCCTTAAAACTATTCTCTTTTGCCCTTTGAGAGCCCTAGATCTGTGACCCTTCAGAAAAGGTCAGCCTCAAACCATTCACTCATCTTTTCTCAACTCCAAATCATTCCGTCATTCAAACCCTTGAACAATGATGTTTCGAATCTTTTACACTTTTTATTCGAATTCTGATCATGGATTATTTAAATTGTAATGATTTGGACATCCGTGAGGATCAAAGACTCAAATTGTTATTGCGTAATTTCAAATTATGTATAAGCTTCCTGAAAGTGAAGCGATTTGTGATATTCAAATTTGAAGACCCAGGATTTTTTTCCTCGACTCTTTAATTACTAGACAAAATCATTATTATATAACCATTATTATTACAAATGATCCTATAAGCCTCACAAGAATGCTCGACCGTAATATTATTATTTAAAAAATTGGTGGAAAGGTACGAATTCTTTGAAGGAATTCTTGACATAAAATGGACTAGAGTGGATTTAGATTCTCATAATTGGTAAAATAAATGAGTGCAAGTGAAATAACGTGAGTGCACCTCAAGCTCCTGGTAATTTGTTAATATCTACGTTGTACCTTGATTCTTCTACCTCTGATTGGCAATTTTATTGTTGATGTATCGAGACGGTGAAGCTGCAGAGTGTTGACCAGCCGGCATCATCGCTTGCATTGTAAGTTATTTTCCATTGACCAATGTCAAAGGTCCGCTCTGGACTCTGCAACATTAACGACCAAACATTTTGGTTCACAGTGATGTCAGACCGCATAGTTTGCATACCAAAGTCCAATGGCATCCTGCTACGAGGAAATAACTCGAGTTCCATGGATCAACTAGGGCATTCGCATCTATGAACATCTCGCATTTTACTGGCATTTAGAGGGTTTACGGGCAATTCACAGAAATGAGATACTAGGGAGACATTTTTTTTTTTTTTTCGAGTGAACGAGATGAATTTTCGTGCTAGTCAACGAAAAAATTATGTGAAGGTAAAACTCTAGGGTAGATAACTCGTTTCAAAGGGATGGAAAGAGATTTAACTCAACTGTGGAATAAATTTGTTTAAATATACCAGTTTCAGAGGTATTACTAAACCTTACGTTGAAAATTTTTAAGTCTTCTGAATGGCATTTATTATGTATTCGACGTAAATTGTCAAGTTGAAAACGTGAATTAGAACTTTTGACGTCTGGATATCTGATGAATATAATTTTCATACCTGATTATTTGTGACCTGAGTGACTTTCACATTATCCGTGAAAACAGGCTCGTCCCAGGTGATGATGCTTCCATTTCTTCCTGTGACACCTTCGGGACAGTTATAGACCTTTGGAGGCTCTCCCTCTGAAGAAAACAACCGGACGGACAATTTGAAACATTGGAATTGGGAATTTATTGAGGATTTTCCTTGGATAAAGGAAAATCATGAAGAATGAACGTAGGAAATGAAACAGTCCGCACGGACAGACATTCTTCAGATAAATGTTCGTACTAGCACTGAAAAAACAAAGATAAGAATAAATACTTATCCACTAAAATAATATAAAATAAAATCGACCTAATTTATTGTGAATAATAATTTACAACAACGATTTTTGCTTAGGCTCCAATTATTTGGGAGTATTATGTATTTTTTAAAATAAAAATTCAAGCGATCTCCAGTTGTTAATGTATTAATGACATTTAATTGTTTATCGGTGTAAAAATTTTATGAGTTTATGGTACAAACTGGGGACACAGCAGAGGAGAATTCGTCGAATTATCTTGACGTGTAGAATCAGCGATCCGCATTGAACAAAATCCTGGGAAGCGCTTAATGCTCAACCCGAGGTTTAATTAAACCACAATGCTCGAATTCCATTACCGTGGATTACCTTCGACGGATAAACCGATGGAATTCCTATGACAATAGTTGTAACATATCAATTCAGTGGTGAACCCCTGGAAATGTTGAATCGGGAGTACAATTTTTGTTTATCAGGTGATTATCAATAAATTAGGAACAAATTGTGGAGACAATTGTCCACTCATCAAACAAAGGATCATCTGGCAATTCTCCAATATCTCATAAAGGATCTTCTGCTTTCTTTTAGAAAAAATTACCGGTTTTCAGTGATTCTTCACGAATTGGTGATCGGGTTGACGCAAAAAATATACCATTTTTACATTTTATAATCAGTTAATAACCCCGAAAATGTTATTAAGTTAAAACGTTAATTTTTTTGTGGTCAATCCGATGAACAATTTGTCAGAGGATTAAAAAAACAGAAATTTCGGTTACAAGATGGCAGAACATTTTTTAAATTCAACCGTTTCGTTCCTAAATTTGATTTATTTATAATTCTATTTATAATTCACGAATACGATAAGAAAACGTAAAGAAAAAATATGACGCATAATTAGAGTTGCATAAAGTGAAATCAATTCCCTATTTTTTATATTTTTTATTGACAAACGGTTTGTTGTAATTACCATAATAACTAATATTACACATCCCCTTTGGTTCGAGAACTTGAATTTAGACCATTTTTATGGTAATCATCGGAAAGTGTTTTGCACTGTGCATTGTGTGGTCTCTGGGTCCATTTCCTGCAGGCGAATGTTTCGATTCTAAAACTATTACCAACACTCGAATACCCAAATTCAACTGACCTTTAACAATAATACGTAGAGTGCAGGATGATTGTTTCTTCGATACCGGATGTCTTGCGAAGAAAGTAACAATGTGCAATCCCAGCTGGAGATTCGCCTCAAGTCTTTTCCCCCAAGACGGTTTTGATTTTACGTTGCGAAACCAGTCTAAATCCGTTGACGGTTGATTGAATTTCACGAATACCTCGTTTTGACCGGGAGATAGCTCAGCAATTACATCCTCTGGACATTCCAGGCGCGGCTTTGGATACTCTGGAGCAGGAAAATTGTGCACTTTTGTTGATTACCCGGAGTTGGAGGAAATGCTGCATAAATCACTTCAACTTCGAGTCTCAAAGGCATTGAAAACAGAATTTCAATCAGCTCCACTTTTTTTTTTCATCTTCATACTTCATTTTTGCGCACCATTAAATTTAGAAACTTCTGATAATAAATTAACTTCTTGGATCAGACTATTTAATTATTCAGACATTTTTCGATGATTGGTTTCAGACGGAAATTGACTATTACTTCAAATAATTTTTAATTGTTTTTTCCGGACATGTTGGTGAATAGTTGTGATTTATTTTCGCATTTTGTAATGATTAGGAATTTTACAATGAATTTCGTCTTAATTTTCAGGGTTATATACTGAAAATTTTTCTGTGGACAAATTCTATTGAAATTTCGGGAATTTCGTGATTAAAAGTAATATTTCAGCGTTTTTCCATTTAAACAATCTGGAAATCACTAAAATATTTATTTTGTCTATTTAATTTGTTGAATTTAAACTGAAACGTGAATTTTCATCAATTGTTTTCATTTTACCTTGATTTAATTTTACGCTCCCGAGGATTTTATGAGTAAAATATATTTATATAGATTTACTGAAATAAATTGAATTTATAAAAATGATGTCAGTTATTAAAGTACTCTTAACTCCATTAATTTTACAAATGTTTCTGGAATTCTCTGGGAAATGTCTGTTAACGTTGTTCCCCTATATTGCCTGAATTCAATAAATATTTCTGGCGAAACTATTTGCGCAATTTCATTAAATCATTTCCTCAGGCAGAAGTTCGTGAATTAGTAACGAGCATTGATTGAAACCCCTCTAGCTCTATTATTCATGAAAAAATGTGAAATAATGTACATCAAAGTTGGGAATAAAAAAATAATTGGAATTATCTTTCAATTTAAACAAAAGTCAATATGAAAACAAGTAGAGATTAATCACTAGCGTTTTTAGCAAGTGAACGTGTGGAAATTCATAATCAACGCGCAGAATTAATTAATGGATTATAATTAATAATTTATGCAATACCTTTTTTATTTTCTGATATTAATAAGCAATAAACAAAGAGCGATTAGTCGATGGAATTTTCGAAATGGAATTATTATTACAGTCGATAAAGGAGTCTTCGAGGATTAATTACAAAAAGTTTATAAATTTATGTAATTAAAAATTGTTCTATAATTTCGGTTTTCTAAGAACTTAATTGACGATTTGGAACGCGCAAGTTTTTAGTTGAGACTTGAAAATCTAAATTCAAGATTAAATTTTTTTGGGGTGTAAGAGTGAATTGAGGAATAGAAAGAAAAATAAAATGAAAATATAAAACTTACTGACACAATCAGCGTTTTGTGGTCCCTCCCAGTCTCCATTTCCGTGGCAAGTGATCTGATATTCTCCAAGGAGTTGATAATTCCGCGGACATTTCAAATAGCACTTAGTGCCGGGCTGATTAACCGCTCTGTACGGTTGCCACGTATTGTCGTCTCCCTGCCGTGAGCATATTAAAGTACCTCGTTTAACTGGATTCACCGGTGGACAGGAGATAGCGTTTATCTCTGTGAATTACAATGGAAATAAATTATGTTTGTGGATTACACATACAAAATGGATATGTCAAAGGAGAATTCGCATTTCCACGCACTTTGGGCTGATTACTCCTAATTAATCCAGACATTCACATTTTTTCATCAGTTCACAGGAAAAAAATCAATCCTTATCCATTGCTATTTACATCAATAACAATTTTTTTTATTATTGACAACGCGACTATTCGATAATAAAAATTTTTGTTGACGTGGAAATGCGATAGGTGCACAGAGAGAAATATTCAATAAACATTATGTGTATTTTCCGTAATTCGTAATTTTTATCTAACGTCACGGAATTTTTCTGTGGTGTTCCGTAATTTTTATTTGAATTATCGGTGAAAAATTACGATATCATCACTTAAATTTTTTGAATGACTCCGTAATGGATAATTGAACTGAAAGTTCCGTAATTTTTATTAAATATTTCTCTCCATGTGCTCACAGAAAAAATTATCCGTAAAAACCGCGAATTACGGCTTTAGTGCCGTAAATTACGCGATCGATCGCGTAAATTTCGTTATCGATTCCCAGAAATTAATGTTTCACACAGAATTTATTAAGCGCAGATCAATGATAAGGAAAGTATGATCCTTGGAGAGAAATAAAATAGATCGAAGACAGACGGAACCCGTCGAAACCGTTTAGTAAATCTGAAAAATTGTAGTCCCCTCCTTCGTTCTCCTATCACCTAGCAGGTTGAACTATATAAACACCTGATAGTCTTCCTGAAACTAAAATGGTCATCAGTTTTCGCGTCCTCAACAACGATTTCCCGATTTCCAATGAAGCTGCTCACAATTCTCCTGCTAACCTGTGCTCTCACGGGCTTCATGGTGCAAGGTGAGAACAATAAATCCTCCGATGATAATTAATTCTTTCATTCGACCCGAATGTGGGATAAACTAATGGACGAACAATTTTTTAAGCTTGCAGCAACATAGCGGACTGTGAGGATACCTTTTGTTCAGTATACGAGAGAGCAATCTGTAAGGCCGGTGGATGCGGTTGTGTGGGCAGAAGAATATTTTCAATACTGCGTGCCAGTGGTTTTCATAAATAAATTTTACATGGAAAAATTTCAGCTGCTATATACCTACAAAATTTTCTGTTGTATACTTTGCATGTATTTTTTCGTCAGTTTTGCGGTTGATTTTTCTCGATGAAAGTTGTAACGTATATGTGCGTATATGAATAAAATTGAATATTAATCAATTACTTTTGGTGTCTCTCATTTTATCGGAGACCTGTACAATCAATTGATTATAAAAAATTGGATTGTGATGATAAATCATTTTTTTTTGCATTTTATTCAGCAGTTTTTATTGAATTCCAGCTGAAATCAATATTTTTTTATTTTTCTGGCAAACTTAGTGTCGGATTCCCGTGAAAAAACAAAACGTTTTTATATTTTATTATTATTTTATGACTCACGAAGTTTTAAAGTACTTCGAACGTTTTCCTGCATTTTGTCTAGACTTCTAAAAAGAATTTCAAAATTGCAGAGAAAATTCAATGATTATTGACAAAAAACGAAATTACAACAATTGCTTTATTAGCGTTCAGCAGATTCGTCAATAATTTGTATTAAAAAAAAAAGAATATATAAAATATCTATGCCTTCACTTTTCGGAATGCAAAAGCAGTTTTCAATGTTGAATTTTATCACTTCAACTGAAGATAAATAGCAACCATTGGATAATCCGAAAAGTTCTAACGTCAAACGTTCGTTTTATGTTGCTATTTTTTTTATTTTCAGAATACCAAGTCTACCGAGGATTTATCTGAGCATAATTATTCAACATAAAGCCTTAAATGAACCTCATTACCAAAAATATCAAGTAAATGACAAAATTAGGATTCAAACATAAAGCATCCCCTCAATTTATTTCCCATTATACAACTGTTTTGGAAGAATTAATAATTAATCTCGAGGAGTAAATGGTACATTCATTACATCGAGTACTCCAAGGCCATCATAATTGATAAGAGATGAGACCGTTGAAGCATGCACCATCGGAATTGCCTGTTCACCGCTCTCTAGTTCAATTTTGCGCTTCTATCGGCTTCTCATTACGTCCTCAACCCCTAAATGCCCGGTAAACAATCGTCTCATCTCAAGTGCGAGACATGAACGATAATGAGAATCGCAACTGAGTTATGTAACCTCTCAGGGTGGAGTTATTGAATTTCCAGATGTTTTTATCTATCACTTGCTTACCTATGCAGGATCTTCCATCTGATGAGACCATTTTCTCGTCGCCATTACACGCGCAGAAGTAACTACCTTCTGTATTCTCGCAGACTTCATCGCATCCGCCATTGTTGTCCAGGCATTCGTTAATATCTGAGAAATTAACATGTCTGTTAGATTATCTGTTAAAGTACCATTTTGTTGATGGGGAGTAAGTGTCTGATGCACGGAGAGATAAATATTTCTCTCCCGATAATATATTCATTTTTTCTGAATCTATAGTTTCAGGCGAATCAATGAATAACTTGTTACTCCAAAAAATTTTCAGCTATCCTGAATCAACCCAGAAAGAAGAACTTTATTCCGGTGAAAGGGAAAAGTTTCGGGCAAGTCGTTAAAAAATTCTGCGCTTTCAATATTTGATGTTCATGCCAATTAACTCAACTATTTTACGCATTGAGAACTCGAATTAATTCCGGGATTAATAACGAATAATGAGTGGTAAATAAATTCATTTTATGCTGACAAATGAAAACATTTTGCCCATTTTTTCGTTTTTTCTTTCCAATTTTCTTCTTGTAACCACCAAATTTAGTCCAAATTTTCAGTAGAAGAAATTTCTTCCAGTGTTCAAATATGGATTATTGCAGCTCTTTCGATTAGTATTCCGATTGTGCTTGAAATATATTTTTTTTTATTTTCCCAGGGATGGAATTTTTCATGAATATGACTGAATTTCGATTGCGATTGGATACTCTTCGTATATATTCATACCCAAGCACGTGACCATTGAAGATGCCCGATATCCACGGGGGCATTCGTTCCTCCACTTCTCGATGTCCGGTTGATCCTTGAGCTCAAGTGGATCAGCACATCGATAGGAGCCAGGAGTATTGATGCACCCGTATCTGCATACCTCAGTCTGGAGCTCAGCAACAGCGCACTCATCGATGTCTAATTCAGAGTAACAAGTATTCATCGAAAATCATTTCTATATCTGCAGGACAATATCGGCACTATCTTATTCTGCTATTTCCAATAATAAATTCTCCAGTCTTACGTTGAAGAATCCTATTTCCGAGTTGAATAGAAAAAAATAATCGATAGATCTGCGATATGGACTAGACTATTACGAAGGTATTGTGGGTGTTCCAATGTTTGACCCATTTTTTCGTGTTTTTTAAAGATTTTTGGCAGCGTTGAACCGATGTACATGAAAAATACATTTTTATCAGTTTCATTTTTATTCAATGAGTTATACAGAATTACAGAGAATTGTTGCATGATAAAATGAATTGAATTACTTTAATTGTAAACTCCGTAGTCTATACATGATATTTTTTTTAATTCAGTCAGAGAATCATCAATGGAAAATTGGATCATTTAAAGAATTAACGGATGACAATGAAGAATTAGAGAAAATTCCCCTGACTTTGTCGTTTTAAAAAATTTCAAGTGTAATTTTCCTGCAGTAAAATAGAATTTCCCCTGCACTTACCCAAGTTACTTTTCCTGTCAACTGCAGTCTCTAATTACCAATCGACTGACTCGACCTTCTCCATCAATTTCTTCACCCCATAAAATAAAGAAAAGCCAGCGGGTCCAGTGAAATTTCACCGCATAAAGCATTTTGCACCAATTGAAACAATCTCACAACCGACATGGAGAATCAGCCATAACCCAGCATTACTCCGTTCATAAACCAAGAGACTTTACGACAGCTGTAAAGCATCTAAGCTATAAACCTCATATTTGCTGTTACTAACCTTGACACGTTTTCCAGTCGTCCTGAAGTACAAAACCATCGGGACAGAGGCAAAAAATTCTGCCGGCAGTGGAAAGACATGTATGTGAGCAGCCAGCATTGTTATCAGAGCAATGCCCGGCTGTCTGACAGGTGTGATTGTCAGCCGAAAGAACACCACCGGGCAATCCCTCACAAGAACAAATATATCCACCCTCGGTATTACGACACCTGTCCTGACATGCTCCACGACCATTATTCTCCGAGCACTCGTCGACATCTGAATGTTCAAGTTATTAAATCTCTGTTCACCATTATTCCGTTAGAAATTATGCGTCTCCATTTACTCAGTATTTATGGGAGGAAAAATTCGCCCTTTGAATTTTTCAACTCAATAAATCATTCGAAATACCAAACATTTTCTTCAATCAATTGATGAATTAAGAATTGATTGGGAGTCATTGATCTATTTGAAATTATTCCGTCTTTGCATCTGAGTCTTAGCCGCTCGAAATTTTATTCTATAATAATAATAATATTACCTCTGAAAATATTCCAAAAAATATTGCAAAATATTGAAAATTGACAATTATATATCAAATATGAGAATTCATTGTTTTTTTTTATCTGTTCTCGTAATGTTTCGAAATAATCTCTGTTTTATTGAAATATTTTTAGTTTTAACATTTTGTAACAATAATTTAGTCAGTTCTAATATTCTTATTTGTAATTTTTTGAGGCAATATTTTGATAGGTAATCCCGAGAGTTGAAACGAACATACGAAGCTATTGATCTTCAATCAACCAATTTTTCCCCCTCCATTATCCATTCTGATATGCGAACCTATACATGTGAACTTGTCGTCTCCATATTTCATTCCTTTGGGGCACTCGCATCGATAGCTCCCCACAATATTGACACACATATATTGACAATTTCCATTTTGCCTCTCGCACTCGTTCACATCTGAAAACACGGAGCCACGATGAGATGTTGGAATAGTCCATAAAGAGGTTTGAGAAACTTTAATGGCATTTGAATGTGGATAACGTCATTGCACCGATACTGCCATGTCATTTAATAATGTAAAAGATGTACCGATGCATTTATTGCCTAGGAGGTTGAAGCCTTTGTGGCATGAGCATTTGGCCAGGCCATTGTCTACTGCACAAATGTGCTCACATTCTAAATGCAAACACAATTCATCAGGTTTCCTCGTGCATAATGGCTGCTCTCCTAGCCATTCCCGGTTTTTGCACAGCAAGCGAGTGTTGTTTGACGACATTGTGAACCCAGTGATGCACTCGTAGTCCGCTTCCAGGTACTCGTGCTCTGGTTTTGATGATCTTGGGGAGAATGAAAATTCCAGGCAATAGGATAATTTGTCAGGGCAAATGTCAACATTACATTCTTTTTTATTGTACTGTAAAAAAGGATTACTTCTGAAAGTGCTGGACCAGAGTTCTGGTCCTTTGGACTTTTAAAATATCGGAAAAATACTTGTGGAATGTAAATTTCATGTGCTCATCGAATTCTCAGATTTTTTATTCGTCATCGATATTTTTTTCGTTGCCAGTGATTTTTTACAATTTTTTATAAATTACAACAAAAAAGACTAAAGTTTAAAAAAACAGTCCGAACTTTTATCGCATGATTGGTATTACTTTGAAGTGTTGGTAAGCAATTTCAATTCACTTTTTGTGGATGTAAAAAGGTTTCGAGATATCTGAGATTTTTTGTAGTAATTTTTTTTAAATTAATCATCAGTAATTCTTTCTCAAAGGATTTGCAGGTCCAATTTAGCTCATAATTGGCAATTATTCCATTCTAATAAAGCCGAGAAGTTAGAGCCTAATAGGTCCTCTCAATCATCAGCCACCATAAATTTTATTTCCGCCTCAAACCACATGAAATAATTTCAGCCAACTTACTTCACGTATTTAATAACTCCATGGGGAATGTAAGGCGCAGGTACGAAGGTTCCATTCATGCAGGAGAGGTCGCCCAGTGACTCTAAATTACCAACTCCCAACAATTTTCCATCCCCTCCAGAGTCATTTCCAGCTGGAGCACTCTCCGTATCACGAGGAAAATTATCTGATAAATTGATCCTATCGATATTTCTCCCATTAATATCAGAATCCAACCGCTTGAATTGATCGTAATTATTCAATTGATTATCGTCGACGGCAAGAGTATTCTCCCGATGAGAGTTGATAATCTCTCCACTCTCCCCAGACCCTTTCTCGTGCTCCAGAATTTCATTTTTCCTAAGCGATAATTCCGTAATTTTCTCATCAGTTTTCATCAATGCAAATGGCCGCTCCTGCCTCATCTTCATAATTTCTTTCTCGAGATTTCTCGTCAGTATCATCTCCATATTTCTCTCCAATTTTTTCTGATTCAAGGAGTTTGAGAAATCCCAGTGAGAACGATTCACTCTTGAATTATTGAACAATTGAGAAAAATCCTCGGCTGAAAGTGCAGGAAGAGAATTTTCTTCATTCCGAGATTTTAATCTTTCAGATTGACTCCTCTCGTGTGGCCTCGATCTCCGGTAGTCTCTGTTAAGTTCTTCATCAGTTCTTCTTAATGATTCATCTTGCTCATTGGTTCTACTTTTGGTGAAATATTTTCGACCTCTCAGGTGCTTATATTTTTTGTGATTTCGATAATCGTTTTTTCGTCGCTTATTGGATCTCCTCGGTGCTGAAAAATTTAACAAGTCTCGGTACCGGTTTTTCTAAAAGTACATCGACCCAAGGGAAGTTTACTTACTGAAGTTTATATTATGATCAGGAACCTTCGAGTAATCATCGAAGTGATTTGTCAGAGTGTCAATGGGCGATTTGTTAAGGGGAAGAGTCGAAGATGTTTTTAGGGCGGCTGATGAGTGCTTCCGCTCGTTGGAAAGAATTGTGTCCCAACTAGTGAAAATTAATTTACATTCTGATTTTAGGACAACCGAATCATATGACATGAATCAGCGTGAAGAATTCTGTTAAGAAACATTTTTCTATGATTCATTTGGAGAAAGGAAAATTAATGGAGGAATTAAAGACAAACGACGGTCCGGTAGTAAAAATGATTATGTTACTGAGAAGTAAATATTCAGTATAATTGAATAAAAAAATGCTTGTCACACTTTATACAATAAGGTTTAAATGATTTTCAATGACAAACACCTCAACGGCACCCCTAGTTTAAATTTACGCGATCTTAAAAAAAATATTCCCACAGGTTAAATATTTCATTATCAATTCATAATAAATGATCAAAGTTAATGGAGAAGAATGATATCTCACATTAATTGCTCCCTAGGGCTCTCGAAATCATGAAGGTCATTCCAACTGAGTTGAGAATTCACTTGATAACGTGAAGTGGTCGGCTTGTCCCGATGCTCGATGTTTTGGCAAAAACCTGAAAGAAAGATGAAGGAGAAATGTGAGGATTGAACGTTCCATGTACTTCACTAAAGTGGCCAACCCAGAATCCATCCGCAACAGAACACGAAAAGAAATGATTAAGTACAAAAGAAAAAAAAATTTACAGAGACGTAAAGTTGCTGCCAACCCAACTCAATGACAATTCGGAAAAGTTTTTACTTGAGTCTGTGTCGCTACCAAGTTTTCTTACATCGTCAACCCAAGTTCAGTTTCAGTTTTCTAGGTACATTCGATGGGTGAATGGAAGCGACGAGAGTTCACAGTAACAGCGAGAGGTGCTTGGGTGATGATGGAACGTAGCAAGCGTTTCTTACCTCGAAAAAAGCATTCTATCCAGGTTCGTTTTAGCGAAACCCACCTATATCGAACTTTTTTATCTGATTTTATACGTTGTAAAAGTTTACTCACGATTTTCACGTGTATATTCATGGATATACCTTTCCCAGTGCAATCTTTGCAGTTGGCGAGAGTTTGTCATTAAAAGTAGGAAGTGGGTTAACAATTTTTTTGTTAGCTCCTCCAATTTTTTTTATACCACTCTGCTACGGCCGATAAAATATTGATCGTGATTGATTTTACCACATTCTTCGATTAATTATAGCTACAGAAATTTACGTATTTGTCTGGAGTCGCTTAAGCATTATTATTTTTACGAAGTATATCGGATTTTCGATCTGAAATTTAGTTTCTGTCATGGTAGCATATTATTCATCAGTCAATTTGAGTCGGAACACTCAATCAGGGATGCCCGACATATCGCATTTCAACAAATATTAAGCTTCGTTTACATTGCGATGGCCGATAGCAGCCGTCGATATGGAAACATGGAAAGAGGATCGAAATGGGAATCGTGTGTACCTATCATTGCATAATAGGTACACATGATCTTATTCCAACGTATCGTATTTCTGTTGAGGTATTCATTTCTCTATTTTCACCACATTTCCCAAATGTAGGTGAACATTTGCGCATCTGTTGGGAATATCGAGTGCAATAAATGTAAATTGCCACGTAAATGGTCGTTGGAACGTTAACTCATGAGGTGGAATTGATTCCAACCATGTGAATTGCATCCACGCATATTTACCAGAAAGTAGAAAATAGACAGATTAGAAATTATAAAGTATTAATTAATAATCAATGAAAATATAACTTTATATGTCAAGAATTGAAAAAAAATGTATCGTAGTTTGGTTTATGTTTTCGAGAGGTGCCTCAGAAAGGAAAAAATGCATGTTCATAATTATGAATATATTGCCAAGAGCAATGTATTCATTGTAATTAAACACAAATGATCTTATTTTACTCCATGCAAGTTATCTTCAATGATTTCAGGCAAGAGGAATAGTAATTGAAATGCACGATTGAATAAATTCGGAACGAAATGAATTCCCATTGAGTTTCATGCTTTTGAAGGAATCACCTTGCGGAATCAAAGGAACTTCTCAAATCCTATTATTCAAACGAAACAGTCAACAACTGTTGACCATCACAGAACAAATACCCAGAGAACTTCAATCAACAAACTGGACTAAAAACAACAATTGCATTAATCTTCAAGCCAAATTGAGTCCAGCAGGTACCTGCAAAGATTTCCTTTTAATCCCTTCCACAATCTCAATTAAATTTAATTTCCCTCCATTAATAACTTCTCCGAAGTAAGCATGAATACCCGGAAATGTTGTTTGCTCGCCTAGACATTAGCCAGGTTACCAGAAAACAAAAAAATAAAATCCCCCTAAAATGTAAAGTGGGTATCTCACAACCGGAAGACGCGTAATCTGTACGGGATTGTACTAACGAGGCAATTTTTCCTCCCACAGACTAGACGCTTTTCTCTTTAACACCAGCCTCTGAATAAACTTTCGTCGCGATAGTTTAAGCCCAGTTGGAACTGACTTTTGTCAGTGCTTAACATTTCAAAGTGTCGGGGTTAAACCTGTATTTACATTCTTTTTCTCTCCCTGTTAAACGCCGGAGGAACAAAAAATTGAAGAGTAAAGTCGATGAAAAAAAAAAATAGACTAAGAGAATAAAAAGACGTACCGACGTAATTTATGACTGGTAAAATAACCAAAAAATTGAATTATCACTTTTCGATATCCTTAGTATTTATTCCCGTATTTATTCCCCGCCACTGGCGTTGTCTGCTTTATCGTGTGGGCGAAATAGAAAATAATAGTGAAAAATAATCCGAAGGAATACGAGTAACGAGGAAAAATACCGAGACAGAGGTGGATAAAACATTTATAGAATTTTTTAAAGGAGAGAGGTACAAACCTCGGTGTTTATAGGGGCTATCCTCGCATGAGGCGCTTTTTCACTCTTTGCTCCTTCTTTTGGGCTTTGGCGTAGGAACACTCCATGATCGTCGTAAATAAACATCCATCTTCGGAGAGAAAACAACAGCAATAATAGCTAGACCAACATAATGGAACTTTTCCATCAGTCTTGAATCTACTGCACACGCGAGAGGAACTCACATCATTGAAAACGGCCTTCATCAGGAATTTTACTTGCATTTTTTCGGCGATGTCGAAGAATATTAAATTGAATCGATAGCATTTCTATTAAAGGATTCGTCTATTCTTCGAGAAAAGACGAACATTTTCAGATAAATATCATTATACTGTCGTTTGTAGACTATTCATTACTTTTTAGGCAAGATTCGACCAACTGCGCTGCTCCCCATCAGCTTCATCATCAGCTGTTTGGCAACATTGACGTTGGATTAGAATTGCAGAGAATCTTTCTGCCTGACTAGGTCGAAATCACTTAGTTAGAGGGGTAAATAACCGTTAGTGAAAAAAGATTCGACAATTTTTGATGAGACATGGATGAATTCATCATTAATGTTGCATGCATCCATTCAGTCTCCCACTGGGAAATGGAAAATATGAAAGAAGAAGAAATGAATCGATAGCCCAACGGTACAGTGAGCAGTTGGAGTGGTCAGGGAAAATATCGGACGCATTAGCTGGCGCGGAAATGAAATAGCAAACGAAGAGAACGCAGCTATCAATGAATTCCACATTTGCAATGGTCAAGGTGTACCTTGAAGTCAGTAAATGGAGATTCAAATACCACTGGAATGAAACAGTCCGATTTAATTACAGAGTTCGTAGTCGAGTGATTTTCGCGCTGAATTCCTGTCTCGATATTTTAATTGAATAATAAAGTTGTTGGGAATTGCATTGACAAACATATTTTCACAATTACTCATTGAATGTCAAGACTTATGTTTAGCGAAGTGATGGTAGGTACTCAAACGGATTTATGATATTATTTTTAATATTTCACACCAATAAATACTGTAGAAGTACTTTAAGACAATGTTTATTTAAACTTCTCTTTGTCTAGAATAAAAAGAGACAATTTAAACGGCAGTATTTTAAAGAGTACCTGCTGGAACTATCAATTACATTTCATTTGGCGTTTCCATTCAGTGAGCAAAAACAGCAGCAGAACCACGTAATATTGTTTTTGTTATTCTAGTTGAGACACCATGGGAATCCACTACATTACAGTTGTAGGTTCATACCTATGGGAATAGGAGAAATTCGGAGAATTTAACTCTATTTTCCTTATTCCCATTATTCACGTGTCGTTTCGAGGAGACGTCCTCGAAGAAAGCCAGAAAAAGTGAAGGACTCCATAGGGACAATTAAGAATTCGGGGAGCGCTTGAGTCTGGGAGAATTCGTCACAGAAAGAAATTTCTATTTGTTATTAATTATCCATCCCTAATTGTCCAACTCCTGGAACATGAAAATCTTTTTTAAAAAAGTATGAAATTCAGACAGCTGCTGTTGTTCTGAGCGAACTTGAGTCCGGCAGGCTCAGAACGTTTATTCATTAGTTATCAACAGCTAAAACGCATTAATAATCATGAAAATCATTTAATTGATGAAAATTCTTGGGTTGGCTTAACGAAAAAACTTTCAATCTTCAATGGCGAATTGGGAATATATTATTCATACATTTATTTCGCCTATTTCAATGCAGAAACAGTCTCTTTGGACACTGATTAATGCTCTGTATGAAATCTTTTCTCAAATAAAGAGAAAGCTGATGTAAAAATTAATTATCATCACATCTTTTAATAAGGAAACAAGGGTTTTCATTGATAATCTCAAGTGTCGATGTCACGTACCCAACATTCAAGTAGAAATTTCTCAATACATCTGCTGAAGGAGTTGTTAAATATTCTATCCACTCGAATATTCCAAGCATCTCATTTTCCGACATTTTGATTAAAGTGTCACTTTCATCGGATATAATGGCAGCTCAGGAGTTACCCAAGTGTTGCAACACCAGAGCAGAATATCAGCTTCGATTTTCTCTAATGAATTTCTATAGTGGAGAATTAAATAACAACGGCAGCAGAATTTCCTCTTCACCGTTTCATTAATGAATCCCTTCTCTCGATTCCACGAGTCATGGATTTCTCTTAACGCCTCTCTACTTTCTTATCTTATTCTTTCACTACTTACTTTCATCAAAATCACGAAATATCTCCTTCCACTTCACTTTGAATGCAACTTCAGGGTGTTCATCAACCGGAAGTGATAAAAGGCGCGGATAAATTCAACGTTAAAGTGAATGTGACACGAGAGAATTCGGTGACCCTTGTGTGTAGGGAAAATACTCATCGATTATCGTGTACTCACGCTCTTCTACTTTATTTGCTATTACCATGCTAATACAGTGATTCGTATTCCACCATTTTTCTCGGCGGTAAAGTGAGGGAGGGTGAGCTTTTCCGGAAAATAAATAAGACCGAGTCAGGAACATGCGTTCGGAAGAGGCAAATTATGAAGAGGCCACGAAGAAAATGTTTTTCATGAAAATTCAAGTCCCAGAGGATTCTCATAACAGCATCGTAATTCATTCGACTGTGAAATTAACAATCTCAGGGTTGTCGTAGGTTCGATATTAGTCGGAGACCATTTCTGAAACTATAGTGGTTGTAACT